GATTGAAAACCAAATAAAAAACTCACAATCTATATAGCATAGTGCATAAGGCACTTCATTAGTGTATATCTACCTTCAAATCTTAGATAAATGCATGTGTGTGAGCTTTGTAAGGTTGTGTATAACTAAAGCTTTGCAAATTTAATGTCAGCTAAAATAATATTCTATTATTTGACAGCTTGAGTGAGATTTCACAATCCCCTAGGTAATACCTTCATGTTCATAGCAATGCTAGTGTGGACATAATGAAGTACCTTTGGTGGTGCTATCTTATAGTACACACTTCTTTAGTTTGCATTAACAAACTTCATATATTTGTACAATGTTAACTTTGAAATTTGTAGACAACATGCCAAGTAATCTATAATCTTAGTTTCACAAATCTCACAAATCTCCAAGTAATCTAATTTTTTAAATAAAATTAGAATGCTAAAACATCTAGAATCAACAAAATGTTAGAATTCTTACAATTAAATGTTACTCTTAACAGGAAGTTATATACCTCTATGTATTATTCCTTGTTACCACTCTCAAATGTTGAAGAAGAGTCTGAATCATATGAGATAGATCCACTTACCTGGTAAAATTCTCAAGCAAGTATCATCTATAACAAAGTAGTTTGAAATTGACAAAAGAAACTTATTTATGTTTCTTGTATATTCTATATATCAAAACCTCCTTACAAATTCTGTCATACAAAGAAAATAGCCATTTAGTTGTTTTGATTGTTATATGCATAATAGTCATATATGGCTGACCATTGGAACCATTTTATCACATTAGATGCCCATTGAATGTACATAATAGCAACATAATTATGGTGGCCGAGGATATAACATTGTGCAAATATGAACTTTTTTCATGCAGCAAGGTTTACAAATAACAAAACACTGCTAGGACTCTATGCCCAACAAGAATACATGCACGACATTAAAACATTGTTTGAAATGGTGGATGAGTGGGATCTTGTTGTTGATCATTCTAGCTGAGAATGGCGAGCTAGAATAGGCAAAGAAACTGTTTGATAGATTGTGCAAACGGGAATTAGTGTGTTGGAACGCCATTCTTCATACCTACTCTCGCCATGGCCAGGTTTTTGAGGTGGAAAAGATTTTCCAGCAAATGCCACAAAGGGATCTCACATCTTGGAATGCAGTTCTCGCTGCGTGCTCTCAATGTGGAGATTTTGAAACGACAGAATGGATGTTTGTACAGATGCCGCAGTGGGATGTTCTAAGTTTGAACTCACGCATGGATGCTTTCGTCCAAGGTGGTCATTTAAACAGGTCAGAAGAAATCTTTGATCTAATGCCAGAGAAAGATCAGTTTTCGTGGAATCTCATCCTTGCAGTGTGGATTAAGCACCGTCATATGGAGAATGCCAAACCTTGTGTTGATTCCATGCCTTTTCGAAATGTTGCTTCGGGAACAATGGCATATGTCCAAGATGGGCATCTTACTCTTGATGTTCAGCGTCATGCCTCAAAAAAACGCCTAATCAGAATGGGAATATGCTCGCTTTGAGACACTGCCGGAGGATGGCAACCATGCCACAAGCTTGGAGGTATTAAATCGCTTGAAGATGAATCATGTCCCGGAAGAGACGTGTTTCGTCTCCTCTTTGATCTCGTGTAGCTACCTAGGAAAGATTGAAGAGAGCCAATCGTGCTTCCTGTCCATGACGCTCGATTATGATCAAGCAGCGCTGTATCGTAAGCGTCCTCTGCCGCTCGAGGCATCTGAAAGGTGCTGTGGAGCTTGTCTCGAGCATGCCTTCCATCCCGATAGGATGGAGTGGTGGGAGATTGCAACAACTTCAATGATCTTGCTAGGGGAGCTAAAGTTACTAGCCAAGTTCTTGCGCTTGATCCAGGTAAACATCATATGTGCTGCTCGCAAATATATTTGAGTCGTCTTTCAAACGGACGATAGAACAGGTTTTTATAAATATTGGAGCTGGCTGCGTATAGCAACGCCCTTTGAACCGTGGTCTTCTGATTTTACTGAAGAACCGGGAAGGATTTCAAGAAGCAAGTGATCTACTATATGGGATATTTTATCGCTGCTCTTCAAAAACGTTTTACTTTATCTTTTAGTTCAGGTTTATATGATCGATGGCGAGTTCAGTTTTTCCTGAGAGGTTCTACTACAACATCCACAGTTTGAGAATGCTGATCAAAGAGTTCTTTTCAGCTCCATTATCACTGATCTTTTCCCTTTCAGCAGTATTTGTAGAAGATCTATCCACCAGTCCTGACGCACTGGAATTAGTTTCGTTCGTGGTATGTTTCTGATGAAAGTTCTGGTCAATCTCGTGAGTTGGAATTTTTATGGACCATCCTTTGAAAAAGAGATCAAGCTAGGAGTTGACTGGAGAAAACTTCTATGCTGGAAACGCCATGGCGTTTGCAGCGTCGGCTCCAGCAGTGTCATCGAGACGGCACTACAACCAAGGCCTTGATTCTGCTCGCTGCATAGTTCGATCCAGGATATCATTTCTCAAGCTTCGCCGAGTGAATGCTATAGCTCTGGAAGCAGCAGTGAAAGAAGATCCGGAGCAGTTGTCCCCATTGATAACACCAGTAAGTCTCTTGGATTCACATTGAGCTCTCATTTTCCTTGTCTTTGCAGAAACGAACTACAGACTTTCAAACACTCTTTCGGAGATTTTGCAAAGTTGCTCAACCTTACTGGCTCGACTCCAAGGAGGGAAACCAGGCAATCCTCCGGTTAGCGAGTGTTTTTGCTCTTACGCTTGCTTCCACGGGGACGAGCGTGGCATTTAGCTACCTTGGAAGGAGTTTTGACAACGCTTTGACAAGTAAGTGTGTCCAGATCTATCAGATTTCTTTAAACTTTTCTCCAGGTAAGAATCGAGAGGAGTTTGTCAAGCAGCTGATCTATTATTTGGGGCTTATGGTCGCAGCACTTCCAGTAAGTCGTTTGAATGTTTGTGCCTTTTTCAGCGTGTAGTTAACTCGCTTGTCTTCGAGGTTTATGTAATCCGCGGATACGCACGAGACACTCTTGCTCTTCGATGGCGATCTTGGATGACGAAACGCTACATGGCTCAGTATTTTTCTCAGAGATCCTACTATAACATTCAATCTCTGGCACTCATAGACAATCCAGATCAGAGAGTTGTGGACGATATCGGCTCGTTCACTCGCACGGCACTTATATTTACCATGACTTTGTTCCATTCCATCACCGATCTGGCGTCTTTCAGCGGAATTCTATACAGGATTTATCCACCACTGTTTGGTGTCTTGCTTGTTTACTCCATTGGTGGCACTGGAATTAGTTTCCTACTTGGAAAGGTATGATTTTCATCTTTTTGTTTTCAGCGAGTTCGTTCTGTTTCCTTGCAGGATCTCATGAACTTGAATTTCGTCCAAGAAAAGAGTGAGGCAGATTTTCGATTTGGATTGGTAAGAGTTCGAGAAAATGCAGAGTCCATCGCGTTTTACGGGGGAGAAATGGACGAGCTTCACTTGCTGCTGGAACGTTTTAAACAAGTTTTTTCCAACTATAGTGTAAGTTTATTTTTCTGGTTTTCCATTTAATTTTTTAAAAAGTGCTGCATTGTCTTTGAAGAAACTACTCATAGCTTCACGCAACTTGAGTTTTTTCCAAGTTTTCTATAGCAACTTGATCCGAATACTGCCCGCTGCCGTGGTGGCTCCGTTCTACTTTTCTGGAAAAGTCGACTTTGGGATCGTCAGTCAGTCTTTCTATGCTTTCAGCTCCGTTCTCCGCGACCTTTCCTTGGTCGTACAAGCGTTCCAATCGCTTAGTTCCTTCTCCGCAGTTGTCGATCGCCTGGGTATACTCTTTTCTTCGTTTGCTTGATTCTCTTCGAACTAAATTTACATGCACAGGTGAATTCAGTGACATATTGGATAAAAAAGGCGTAGTGAATACTTTGGAGCTGAGCACCATCAAATCGATCGAGACCACGGAGAGCGACGTTCTTATAGAAGTGTCGACCTTGACTCTCTTGTCTCCTCAACACACTCTGACTCTAGTCGAGGGGCTCTCTTTCAGGATGATCACTGGACAAAATTTCCTAGTATGTGAATTCTTATATTTTCTACTTTGTTATCAGATCACTAACACGGCTTTAAAACCGACCAGATAACTGGCCCCAGTGGAAGTGGCAAGACATCGTTCTTGAGAGCTATCGCAGGACTTTGGAACTCCGGGGGAGGAACCATAGCAAGAAACTCTACCATGGATATATTCTTCGTGCCTCAAAAGCCGTACATGACTCTTGGAACGCTCCGGCAACAAATTCTATATCCAACTTGGAGCAAAGACGGGGAGAAAAAACACGATCAAGGTAGCGGGTCTTTTACACGTGAATCTATCACAAGTGTGCTCTCATGATCCAGAATCCAAGCACAGCGATGCCGACTTGATGGAAGTCTTGCGTAGAGTGAAGCTTGAACAGCTCCTGGAACGCTCGTTCCACTTGGACGCGAATGCCGACTGGTCCAGTGTCTTGTCACTGGGAGAGCAACAGCGCCTGGCTTTTGCTCGATTGCTTCTATCAAAACCAAAGCTTGCGCTCCTGGATGAAGCAACCAGTGCCATAGACGAAGCAACTGAGGTAAAAGCTTGTCTCTTTGGTTCTCTTCTAAGATCTAGTCACTCTATGCAGGCTTACTTGTATCGACTTCTCCTAGAATCAGGAACTTGTGTGATGAGCGTTGGGCATCGCAGCACGCTTCGCGAATTCCACACACACTTGCTCTTCTTTTCCCCGCAAATCTCCGGGACGAGTATCTCGGAGTGGTCATTACAAGACCTTCCTCAAAGAACCAACTTTTAGTAGCAGTAGTTCTTCGTCCATTGAAGTGAGACTGGCCTTTGGGAATGCGAGCAAGCAAGCGCTTTGCAGTCTTCTACGTTCTTGCAAGAGTGTGGCGGAGCTCCAGCAGCTCCATGCAACGATCTGGGATGGGCAGGAGACCCTGCTCGGGAACGTCTTGGTTGAGATGTATGGCAAGTTTGGAGCTGTGGACGAAGCGGGTGCGGCGTTTGATAGCATCCAGCGTCCAAACGTCTTCTCGTGGAACAACATCGTCACGGTATATACACAGAACGGTTTTTTGGAGCGAGCGCACAGCGAGTTCGACGCCATGACCGAGAGGAACTCCGTGTCCTGGAACATAATGGTGACGGGCTATGCCCAAACTGGGTATCTCACACAAGCTGAGGCTTTGCTCGAGAAAATGCCACAGTATGGAGTGGTTTCGCTCAGTGCTATGGTTGTCGGCTTTTCCAGGAGTGGCCAAACCGACCAAGCAGAGGCTACTTTCGAGAGAATTATTCAGCGTAATATCATAACTTGGACTGGGTTTCTAACTGGATATGCCCAGTGCGGGTATATCCATGAAGCTTACGGGATTTTTAAGAGAATGCCAGCGTGGAACGTTGTCTCATGGACTGCTATGATCGACTTGCTGGGTCAGATGGGTCAGCTCGAGAACGCGAAGACTCTTTTTGATCGGGTTCCAGAGCTCAATGCTGTGTCTTGGACGGCCATGGTTGCTGCTTATGCCGCGAATGGGCATATCCGAGAGTGTCGAGATTTGTTTGATGATATGCCCGAGCGCGGTATAGTAACTTGGAACGCCATGCTTGCTGGATTTGGGTCGAGTTTGCAAGCGGGAGAAGCGAGGAGAGTTTTTGGAAGAATGCCTTGGCACAACTTGGTCTCGTGGAATACCATGCTTGCTTTGGTTGCTAGGAACGCTGGAAGCCTGGAAGGATTGGATATCTTCCATGGAATGCCTGCGAGGAACTGTAAATCGTGGAACCTTGTAGTCCATTGCCATGCCGCGAATGGAGATATGGGGGACGCCGGCAAGCTTGTGTATAGAATGCCGCAGCACAGTGTAGTGACTTGGACTTCCATGGTCGTTGGATATTCCTGCAAGGGAAGAGTTGACGAGGCGATTTCCTTGTTTGACTGGATTCCAGAACGGAATGTTGTGACCTGGACGGGCTTGCTTGCCGGATATGCCCAAGTAAGTGATGTGGGTGAAGTGTTTCGCAGAATGCCGGCCCATAACGTGGTGTCATCGACGGCTGTGATTGATGCCTACGGCCAGAATGGCCACCTGGTGGCGGCCAAGGAGCTGTTTGACCGGCTCCCGGAAGCCAACGAGTTGACTTTGATAGCCATGCTGGGGGCATATGCTGCCAAGGGATGCGCATCCGAGTCCAAGAGGCTGTTTGACTCTTCGCCATCGCAGAGCGTGCTTACGTGGAATACAATGGTGTCCACGTACGGAAATAGCCTCGAGCTCTGTGCCGCAATGGCCATGTTTGAGAAGATGCCCAAGCACAACACTGTGTCGTGGAACGCAATCGTTACGGCAAATGCCAGGAATGGGCATTTGGGGGAAGCTAGGATGATTTTTGACACGATGCCATATAGGAGCTCAAGGTCGTGGAGCGTGATGATCGATTCATATGCGCTGAGTGGCCAGTGTTTTGAGGCAGTCGAGATGCTTACACTCGTGATGTGGGAGGGTTTTGTGCCAGATGAGAGTGTATTTACAGGTGTTCTTGCTGCCTGCAGCCACCAAGGCTTGCTCGAACTCGGTATAAGGCTGTTTTCGTTGATGGTGAGAGATTACTCCATTGCTCCAGCACTAGTACACTTCAAGTGCCTAATTGCATTGCTGACTCGAGCTGGGCAACTTGATAGTGCAGAGCAGCTTCTCAATGAAATGCCCTACCATCCAGATGAAGTTGCATGGGTGACACTCCTTGCCGGCTGTAGCTCACACTTTGATGTGGGACGAGCGTCCTATGCCACTTGCAATTCTAGTGCTCTGCACGTGTTGCTAGGAAATGTGTACGATCAGCAAACATTTCAAATGAGTTTCTAATCTTTTAAATCTTGCGTCCCTCCATAAGGCGGAATAAGGATGAACAGTTTTTTTTGGCCATGATCCACCTGATCCTCGCCAGATGATTCTTGGCGAACCTGAGCCGATTCAGCACTCCACGGACGAGCGTGGCATCGGTGGAGGCTCGTGCTGGCCGCTACAATCAAGGGTAAGCATCCTCAATCTGCAGAATTTGCAACTCCAGCACCAGAAATATTATGTCCAAAATCATTTTTGGACACATGTACAATAAACATCTTGCCATTTGTATTGCAATTGCTTCTTCATCCTTTTAATCTTTCATTTATGTTCTTCTCCCAAAAGATGAATTTTCTCATATGATCAAATATGATTACTAATTAGGGTGAAAATTTATTTGATAATAAGTCAATGTCATAAAGGAAAATGCTCATTGTAAAAAAAAATTTTCATTAGAACACTTAAACACTCTATTACAAATTAATTTGTGTATGTTCCAGTTTGGATCAATTGATCACAAATATACAACACTATCAAGCATGAAATATGCAAATCTACTTTTGCTTTCTAATATCATTCATTTAACTTGGAAATCATCAGCACCCTAGTAACATTTGAAAAGGCATATTCTCCCAACACCATCATCCCTTTCTCCTCTATTACAATTACCCATTTAGTGAAAGATGTTCATCTCCATTTTTCACAGTAGTAGTGCTGCAATGTGTGCCATGCCTTGAAAGCAATAGGAGAATCCTTGACCTTCCTCCCATGGAACTCTCTTGATCAACTTGCATTAAAGCTCTTTTAGCTTTATACAAGCTCAGCACCTTTAATTCTTGTTTCTGGAAACATGTGTCCAAACTGGTACAAAAGTTCCTCGCAAGGAAGCTTCTTTGAAATGGCAAAGGCGGCTTGTATGAAGGATAAGCAGGAGAAGCAGGAGAATTGGTAAAATGGGGCTTGATCCAAAGGATGGGGGGTTTCCCATGGTTCAGGATTTGGTTGAGTCTGGCATTGATGAAGTGCCTCAGCGATTTGTGAAGCCAGCGGAAGAGCGGTCATTCTCTGCAGCAAGGACGGAAGATGATGAGGTTCCAGTTATTCACGTAGCAGAGCTTGACACAGCTGAAGGCATCGCTAAGCTCGACAGCGCTTGCCGAGATTGGGGATTTTTCCAGGTGAGATCTGCTCAAAAATCCATGACTAACATCTGGTTCAGCTGATTGGACATGGCATCCCTCCGGAGTTGCTTAAACAGGTGAGGAAGACTGTGAGGGACTTTTTCCGGTTGCCCCGGGAGCAGAGGGAAGCATATGCTATTCGCTCTGATGCACCATCTCTAGCCAGCCAGGAAGGATACGGAAGATTCTTCGTTCCTTCGGAGGAGACTGTGCTCGACTGGGGCGATTCTGTTTATCATTTTCTTCCTCCCATAAGGAATTGGCCAAGAAATCCTCCAGAGTACAGGTAACATTTTTGAGAACTTTCAGCGTCGTTCTGAATTCCACTCTACAGGAAAGTCGTGGAAGAGTACGGCCAGGAGATACGGCCTCTGGCAATCAAACTGCTACAATGCATGGCAGAGGCATTGGGGCAACGTGCCAGTTTTTTCTCTGAAGCTTTCGGTCCTAGTCCTCATTATGCGATCAGGCTGAACTATTATCCGCCTTGTCCACAGCCAGAGCTTGTGATTGGCCTCAGCCCTCACTCCGATCTCGTGGGTCTTACCGTTTTGCTCCAAGATGAGGTGGAAGGCCTGCAGGTTAAGAAAGGCGGGCAGTGGAGGAGCGTCAGGTCCATCCCAGACGCGTTTGTGGTGAATGTTGGAGACACGGTTGAGGTGAGTGCATGAGGATTCTCAGCTTTGGTTCATAGTTAAAGCTATGGTGCATGGTTTTTGTTGCGTCCCAGATACTAACGGATGGAGCTTACAAGTGGAGCACAGAGCTGTCGTCAATAAGGAATGCTCTCGGATCTCCATTGCAACAATTTACGGTCCTGGCCGCGACAGGAAGTTAAAGCCAATTACCTCGGAAGAAATGCCACCTTTGTACAAGGAAGTCTCTATGGCAGAGCTCCTCGAAGCGTTCGTCAATGGAAAACTGAATGGTAAGGGGCATCTCCAGTTTGTCAGAATAGGATGAGGAAGTATTATGACAAAAATAAAATAATGTGACAATACAGTAAATTATATAAAGATATATATATGTATTGAATGTTTGGAAAGCTATTTTACTTGTATAAAAGAACAATGCCCTTTAAAGTGTCAAAAATACATGATATGCATGAGTCTGAATTATTTTTATTTTCATTCATTCATTAATTGTTTATAAAGTTTGTGTTGCCCTCTAAGAAGCATGAAACTGATACATTATAATATGCTTGTACGTTTTATGCCTTCAGCTATCAGTACACCTCTCAAGGAGAGTGGACTCACAAATTGATATTTTAAAGGATTTTTTTTTAATGCATGAGCATGCATTGATGCCTATACATGGCAAAGTCTAAGTAATACTGTGTATGCAATTTTTTTGCATTATATAAATTTCAACTCTATATCAATTTTTTTGACACATTAGGTTCAAAATTAGGGTTTATAGGCATGATGTTTGCTAGTGGGCAAGCTAGATTTTTTAGTGCATTTTGGATACCACATATTAAGCTCGTGTTTAAAGCTATTTCCTTGGTGAAGGTAATGAAAAACATTTTATGCAACAAAACATTATAATGTTAAAATCTTTAATGCATGATTAAGATTGCAAAAAATCCATTTGAGAACAAACAGTATAAAAAAGCATTAAAACTATTTCAAACCATGCAATCCAAGGGCTATATGCCAAATTTTTGAAGATATGTGACTGCTCTTAAGGCATGCTCAAGTTTTAAGTGCTAGAGAAGAAAGCAAAAAGATGGATGGAGGTTTTGTGAAATTGGTGGCATTGAAGTAAGGCATGGCTTTGTACTGCTAGGCAACAAAAGTAGTAACGGGGACTTAAAGCTTGTAGCAGCATTAGGGCCTAATAGCTAGGACAAAGAGATGATGTGGAAATTTGCTACTGTGGACTAGAGAACAACCAAGTCACAGTGATGTGTTTAGTTGACTTCTACTACAAATTTAGAAATGTGGTCTCAACTCAACAGGTTTTTAACTCAATGCCATTTAAAGATCTTGTGGCCCAGATGGCACTTATAGTTGGACTCGATCACCAAGGAGATGCTGCCTCCATGTTTGAAAACTTTAATAGCATATAAGATCCTAGCATTCATCTTGATAGCTTTATATTCTTCTCGATCATCAATGTTTGTAATCATGTGGGGTTTGTGAAACAAGGAAAGGAGTGCTTCTATGCAATAGAGATGAAGTATGAGATCTGTCCTACGCATGAACACTATTATGGAATGATTGATCTCTTGGGATAAGTAAATCACTTGGATGAGACAATGATGGTGTATGAGTAAGTTGGAAAGATTGCATACAATGCTTTAGTGAAGATCAATAAGAGGAACAAAGTTGCATATACACTTATAACTAATCTATATAAAAACTAACATTTCCATGCTTGCTAAAGGAACAAAAGTTGGCAGTTGTGACCAAGAAAGCATTAATAGGCATTCCATTGTAATATATAATGCTGTGACAAAATGAGAAGCTCTCATTCAATACCTCAATTATGGTGATAGTGCTTCTTGTCCCACTACTCCACATATCACTCATGGATTTCATCTTTACATGACATTATAAAAGTAAAAGAAGAGTTCTAGAATATTTATTTCACATAATATTGCATACTTGCTTGTGTGAAATTTATATTATATAATTGTTTGTGTAAAACCTTCACTAGATTTGTGGTGACATCATGTTATCTTGGATGACATGGCATCAGTCTTATGTGGCAGTTTAAAGTGTCATGCCTCATACATCTATGATATACCTTATGACAAAAATATTATACACATAATCACATTTTGTTTATATAACAATCAAAAGTGATTGTGTGCATAATATTTTTGTATGCAACTCAAAACAAAAAAATAAATTCTCAGATGTGTAAATATATAATGCTCTCACAAACAATCATATATTTGTTGCCACGCTATGGCTGGGCACCAAATTAAATTTTGATATTTACAAAAACACAAATAATATTGTGTTTGTATGTAAGATGTTGTGAAAGTAAGCTTGAATCAGACACAATGGTTGAAACTGTATGAGCTGCTTAAACTTGAGCATTTGATCACAAAACGAGATCCATGCTGGTCGCTAGTGCCCAACATCACCAATGATCTTGGATAGAATCTATTCACTTCCGTTGCACCTCTGGCTAGCGAGACCTTGACTTTTTATATCGATCCATGAGGATCATGCCAAACGTCTTCCACTGTGCCGCACTTGTGAGATGAGGATTTATCACTGACGTGATCAAAGATGATGTATACCTGTCGAGTAAAGCTTGAGAGATTGCTCCAAGAAATGCAGCGATGTTCTCTGAATGAACCTCTTGGTGCATGTACAATCCATAGAGACAAACACATTGCCAAACAGCTCGGCACTAGTCAGCATATACATCCATTTGTGCCAATCTTTAAGCTCATCCAAAAGGGAATGAATTGCTAGCAAGTATCGTATATATTGCTTGGTTTCCTGGGTCCAAACGAAGGACCTCCGTAGCTGCCCAGCTTCCATGGTCGCCATCACAGTGGAGCTTGGAGGCTCCAAGAACACACGACCACTCCAAGATCCTGGGAACGAACGGCATGCTACTCAAGAGTTCTTGTGCCTCGCGCAAATGACCAGCCCGGCCAAGTGCGTCAACCATGCAAGAATAGTGCTGCTCGGTGTGCTCCACACCATAGTCGGCTACCATGGAAGTAAAATGCGACCGGGCATCGTAGAGTTTTCCCCGCCGCGCGCACGTAGCGAGCACTAGGACGAAGCAAATCCCATCCGCAAGCTCGGCCGCCACCTTCAATTTAGAAAAGATATCCTGTACGCGTTCGAGGTGGCCGACGCTTGCGTAAGAGTGTAACACAACCGTCCAAGAGATGGTGTCACGCTCAGGCATTGAGTGAAAGAAGAGCTCGGTCGATCCTGGGAGGCCTCTTTGTGGGTAGCAATTGAGCATGGTGTTCCATGTCACGAGATCTCGCTCGACCATGTCACGAAAGAAGAATTTCTTTGCAAGCGGCTGGCGGCAGGCTTGGATGTGAGCTGCGAGCATGTAGGTGCATGATCCAGCATCTCGCTCAGGCATCTCATTAAAAACTTTGATGGTACTAGCATAATCGCTAATTCTCATGTAGCCACCAAGAAGAGCTTTCCACGACACTAAGTCTTTTACAGGCATTTGAACGAATGTGCATGTTGCAAGCTCAATATGCCCGGCTAAGGCATATGCTGCAAGAACGATATTCCATGACACTAAGTCCAAGCGAGAAATAGTTTCTAGAAACAAAAGAGCGTCCCCTAAGCTTTTATATCGCGTATACGAGTCAAGCATAATGTTACACGAGACGATATTACGCACAAGCATCCTATCGTACAGGTTTTTCATCTCAAAAAATCGCCCAGACACGGCATACGCAGTAAGCATTGCGTTTGCTGATACTGTATCGTGTTTTGGCATCGATTCAAACGTTTTCAACGACTGATGAAAATTCCCAGCCTCAACGAACATTGAAAGAAGAGCCGTCCAGGAGACAATACTCTGCTGCAGCATGATACCAAACACTGTTTCCGCTTTATCAAATTGCCTGTTAGAGGCATATGCTGTGAGCAATGTTGTGTACGACACAAGATCTCTCTCAGGCATCAAACAAAACAAATCTATAGACTCCTCTAAGAGGTGTCGGCTGACCAAAAATGTTAGGTAAACGTTCATGGTGATTAAGTCCCTCTCCGGCATTGTCTCATACGCTCTTTTTGCCTGAGAAACACCCCCAACACGGGCATATGTACTAAGCATGCTGTTCCAAGTGAAAAGATCTCTTTCCGGGATTTCTTCGAACGCAAGAGTGGCTTGCTCTAAGAGACCTCGGAGGGAATACGCAGCTAGCAGGGTGTTCCACGTAGCAAGGTTTCTTTGTGGCATGGAATGAAAGATCTCTTCGGCCTCTGCGAGGTGTCCCTTTTGAGAATACGAGCCAAGGATACAATTCCAGGAGATGAGGTTCTTGAACGGCATCTGGTTGAAGAATTTCCTGGCATCGTCCACGTATCCATTCTTCTCGTAAGCTGCAAGAAGGGCATTCCAAGAAACTGGGCTCCATGCGGGCATAGAATCGAATGCGTACTTTGCCTCCTCGAGGCATCCTCTGCGAGCGCAAGAAGAAAGGAGTACGTTCCACTCGACGAGCGTTCTACGTTGTGAATCCATTCAAATGTGGACCGTTGACTGACCAGCTTTAAATGTCGACCATTGGATTGGCGCCAAAATTCGCAAGCTTGCCGATGTAAGCCACAACCATTGAGCAGTGCCGACCACGCATTCACGCCAGGCTTGCAAGGCATGGCTTGGAATAATCTTTGGGCTTCTTCCAGCCGCCCAGAAGATCGATCACGCAGTGGTAATGCAAAGGGCTAAAGATCTCACTGTTGGAGAGATCATCAAACTTTCTTGCTCCATGAACATCTTTATACCAGTTGACTTTTGGATTCTTGGGAGTAACTCCAATTGTTTTTTCTATTGGGTACGACAATAGAGTGACATCAGAAAAAACTTAATAAAGTTGTGAGTACTTAATAGCAAGTTCCTCCAAGTTTATGAGGCAGATCGATGGGAGAACATCCATTGCAGCTATTTGTCCCGTGCAGGACATTGGAACTCCGGGCGAGGAACCATAGCAAGAAACTCTATCATGGATATATTCTTCGTACATGACTCTTGGAACACTCCAGAAACAATTGCTATATCCAACTTGGAGCAAAGACGGGGAGAAAAAACACGATCAAGGTAGCGAGAATTTTTGTTCTTTTACACGTGAATCTATCACAAGTGTGCTCTCATGATCCAGAATCCAAGCACACTTGGTGGAAGTCTTGCGTAGAGTGAAGCTTGAACAGATCCTGGAACGCTCGATTCACTTGGACGCGAATGCCGACTGGTCCAGTGTCTTGTCACTGGGAGGGAGAGCAACAGCGCCTGGCTTTTGCTCGATTGCTTCTATCAAAACCAAAGCTTGCGCTCCTGGGTGAAGCAACCAGTGCCATAGACGAAGCAACTGAGGTAAAAGCTTGTCTCTTTGGTTCTCTTCTAAGATCTAGTCACTCTACGCAGGCTTACTTGTATCGACTTCTCTTAGAATCCGGAACTTGCGTGATGAGCGTTGGGCATCGCAGCACGCTTCGCGAATTCCACACGCACTTGCTCTTCTTTTCCCCGCGAATCTCCGGGACGAGTATCTTGGAGTGGTCATTACAAGACCTTCCTCAAAGAACCAACAGTAGTTCTTCGTCCATTGAAGTGAATAAGTGGAAGACTGGCGTTTGTAAATGCGAGCAAGCAAGCGCTTTGCAGCCTTTTACGTTTTGGCAAGAGTGTGGCGGAGCTCCAGCAGCTCCATGCCACAATCTGGGATGGGCAGGAGACCCCCCTGGGATGTATGGCAAGTTTGGAGCTGACAAGAGGCTGCGGTGTTTGATAGCATTCAGCGTCCAAACGTTTTCTCGTGGAACAACATCGTCACGGTGTTTGCACACAACGGGTGTTTGGAGCGAGCGCACAGCGAGTTCTGCCCGAGAGGAACTGCGTGTCCTGGAACATAATGGTGACGGGCTATGCTCAGACTGGGTATCTCACGCAGACTGAGGCTATGCTCGAGAAAATGCCACAGCATGAAATGGTTTTGCTCAGTGCTTTGATCGTGGGCTTTTCCAGGAATGGCCAAACCGACCAAGCAGAGGCTACTTTCGAGACAATCGTCCAGCGGAATATCATAACTTGGACTGGGTTTCTAACTGGATATGCCCAGTCCAGGTATATTCGTGAAGCTTACGGGTATTTTTGAGACAATTTCAGCGTGGAACGTTCTCTCGTGGACTGGTATGATCGGCTCGCTGGGTCAGATGGGTCAGCTCGAGAACGCGAAGATTCTTTTTGATCGGGTTCTAGAGCTCAATGCTGTGTCTTGGACGGCCGTGGTTGCTGCTTATGCCGAGAATGGGCATATGCGAGAGTGTCGAGATTTGTTTGAGCGCGGTATAGTAACTTGGAACGCCATGCTTGCTGGATTTGGGTCGAGTTTGCAAGCGGGAGAAGCGAGGAGAGTTTTTGGAAGAATGCCTTGTGACAACTTGGTCTCGTGGAATACCATGCTTGCTTTGGTTGCTAGGAACGATGGAAGCCTTGGATACCTTCCATGGAATGCCTGCGAGGAACTATAAATCGTGGAACCTTGTCGTCCATTGCCATGCCGCGAATGGAGATTTTGGGGACGCCGGCAAGCTTGTGTATAGAATGCCGCAGCTCAGTGTAGTGACTTGGACTTGCATGGTCGTTGGATATTCCTGCAAGGGAAGAGTTGACGAGGCGTTTTCCTTGTTTGACTGGATTCCAGAACGGAATGTTGTGACCTGGACGGGCTTGCTTGCCGGATATGCCCAAGTAAGTGATGTGGGTGAAGTGTTTCGCAGAATGCCGGCCCATAACGTGGTGTCATCGACGGCTGTGATTGATGCCTACGGCCACCTGGTGGCGGCCAAGGAGCTATTTGACTGGCTCCCGGAAGCCAACGAGTTGACTCTGATAGCCATGCTGGGAGCATATGCTGCAAAGGGCTGCGCATCCGAGTCCAAGATGCTTTCTGACTCCTCGCCATCGCACAGCGTGCTTACGTGGAATACAATGGTGTCCACGTACGGAGCTAGCCTTGAGCTCTGTGCCGCAATGGCCATGTTTGAGAAGATGCCCAAGCACAACACTGTGTCGTGGAACGCAATCGTTACGGCAAATGCCAGGAATGGGCATTTGAGGGGAGCTAGGATGATGTTTGACACGATACCATATAGGAGCTCAAGGTCGTGGAGCGTGATGATCGATTCATTTGCGCTGAGTGGCCAGTGTTTTGAGGCAGTCGAGATGCTTACACTCATGATGTGGGAGGGTTTTGTGCCAGATGAGAGTGTATTTACAGGTGTTCTTGCTGCCTGCAGCCACCAAGGCTTGCTCGAACTCGGTGTAAGGCTGTTTTCGTTGATGGTGAGAGATTACTCCATTGCTCCAGCACTAGTACACTTCAAGTGCCTAATTGCATTGCTGACTCGAGCTGGGCAACTTGATAGTGCAGAGCAGCTTGTCAATGAAACGCCCTACCATCCAGATGAAGTTGCATGGGTGACACTCCTTGCCGGCTGTAGCTCACACTTTCACGTGGGACGAGCGTCCTATGGCACTTGCAATTCTGGTGCTCTGTAGGAAGTGTGTACGATCAGCAAACATGAGTTTCTAAACCTTTAAATCTTGCGTCCCTCCGTAAGGTGGAATAAGGATGAACAGTTTTTTTGGCCTTGATGACCTTTCTGTTCCCTGATCCTCGCCAGATGATTCTTGGCGAACCTGAGCCGAGTCAGCACTCCACGGACGAGCGTGGCATCGGTGGAGGCTCGTGCTGGGCGCTACAATCAAGGGTAAGCATCCTCGATCTGCAGAATCCGCAACTCCAGCACCAGAAATATTAAACAGGAGTGTCGAAAATCATTTTTGGACGCGTGTACATAAACATCTTGCCATTTGTATTGCAATTGCTTCTTCATCCTTTTAATCTTTGGTGCCTTCTTCATTCATGTTCTTTTCCCAAAAGATATTTTTTCACAGTAGTAGTGCTGCAACGTGTGCCATGCCTCAAAAGCAGTAGGAGAATCCTTGACCTTTAAGATGTCCTCACATGGAACTCTCTTGATCAACTTGTATTAAAGCTATACAAGCTCAGCACCTTTAAGTCTTATTTTTGGAAACATGTGTCCAAATTGGTATAAAAGTTGTACGCAAGGAAGCTTCTTTGCAATGGCAAAGGCGGCTTGTATGAAGGATAAGCAGGAGAAGCAGGAGAATTGGTAAAATGGGGCTTGATCCAAAGGATGGGGGGCTTCCCATGGTTCAGGATTTGGTTGAGTCTGGCATTGATGAAGTGCCTCAGCGATTTGTGAAGCCAGCGGAAGAGCGGTCATTCTCTGCAGCAAGGACGGAAGATGATGAGGTTCCAGTTATTCACGTAGCAGAGCTTGACACAGCTGAAGGCATCGCTAAGCTCAACAGCGCTTGCCGAGATTGGGGATTTTTCCAGGTGAGATCTGGTCAATAATCCATGACTAACCTCTGGTTCAGCTGATTGGACATGGCATCCCTCCGGAGTTGCTTAAACAGGTGAGGAAGACAGTGAGGGACTTTTTCCGGTTGCCCCGGGAGCAGAGGGAAGCATATGCTATTCGCTCTGATGCACCATCTCTAGCCAGCCAGGAAGGATACGGAAGATTTTTCGTTCCTTCGAAGGAGACTGTGCTCGACTGGGACGATCTTGTTTATCATTTTCTTCCTCCCATAAGGAATTGGCCAAGCAATCCTCCAGAGTACAGGTAACATTTTTTTTTGAAAACTTTCATCGTCGTTCTGAACTCCACTCTACAGGAAAGTCGTGGAAGAGTACGGCCAGGAGATACGGCCTCTGGCAATCAAACTGCTACAATGCATGGCAGAGGCATTGGGGCAACGTGCTAGTTTCTTCTCTGAAGCTTTCGGTCCTAGTCCTCATTATGCGATCAGGCTGAACTATTATCCGCCTTGTCCACAGCCAGAGCTTGTGATTGGAATCAGCCCTCACTCTGATCTCGTGGGTCTTACCGTTTTGCTCCAAGATGAGGTGGAAGGCCTGCAGGTTAAGAAAGACGGGCAGTGGAGGAGCGTCAGGTCCATCCCAGACGCGTTTGTGGTGAATGTTGGAGACACGATTGAGGTGAGTGAATGAGGATTCTCGGCTTTGGTTCATAGTTAAAGCTATGGTGCATGGTTTTTGTCGCGTCCCAGATACTAACAAATGGAGCTTACAAGAGCGTGGAGCACAGAGCTGTCGTCAATAAGGAATGCTCTCGGATCTCCATTGCAACAATTTACGGTCCTGGCCGCGACAGGAAATTAAAGCCAATTACCTCGGAAGAAATGCCACCTTTGTACAAGGAGATCTCTATGGCAGAGCTCCTCGAAGCGTTCCTCAGTGGGGAACTGAATGGTAAGGGGCATCTCCAGTTTGTCAGAATAGTATGAGGGTCCAAGTATTATGACAAAAATAAAATATTGTGACAATATATGTCTTTAATATAGTAAATGATATATATATATATATGAATTGAATGTTTGGAAAGCTATTTTACTTCTAAGTGAAAATTACCTAAGAAGAATGCCCTTTGAGCCCCTTAAAGCTCTTTTCTAGGGCTACTGTCAAACTCCACATAGGGTTTAGGATTTAGGGTTTAGGGTTTAGGTGCGTTTATAGTAACTCAATCTATTTATGTCTTAAATTATGTAATAGAAATCCTGCAGTTTAGGTTTAGGGTTTTAGGTTTAGGGTATAAACATTTAATCCAGATCAGTGCATATCATGAAACTTTCACATTGAATCGACTCCATTGGTTGTTGGTCCTAATTGTGGCAACTGGATCCAAAAATTCTCTTTTCCAGATCATCCTCAAAGCAAGACACCATATATAGTCTTCTAAAGAGAATCTAGAAAGCTAGGTTTTTCAAGTCCCAACTGCTCCAAGTCACCCTTGACATCCAACTCTACCAATCCTTGACCGTTACTATCTTCATCATGTGTCAAGGCAAACAAAATCACATAAATCTTGGCAAAAAGCTCCATTTCTAAAGATTTTGCAACTGTCCATCCACGGATTGCACAACTTAAAGTAGGTTTAAAGTTGTCTCACATTACTCATTCTCACATGGATTTTTTGCATTCTTATTCATTAATTGAAGATTTTGTCATTATAATGTTTTGTTGCATAAAGTGTTTTTCATTACCTTCACCAAGAAAACAACCCTAAGCACATAGTAATGGCAAATTTAGCCTGTGGTATCCAAAATATGTTAAAAACTCTAGCTTTCCCAGAAAACATCAAGTCCATAAAACTTTGCTGATGTGTCAAAAATGTTGATATGGAGTTGAAATTTACACTAAAAAAATTACATACAAGCATCAATGCATGCTCATGCATAAGAAAAAAATTATCTTTAAAATATTATTTTGTGAGTCTACTCAAGATACACCTGCCTCATTGAGAGGTGTACCTCCCCTTAAAACTGCAATCACAAATTAGCTAAAGGCATAAGATGTATACAAATAAAAAAAACAACATATGATAATGTATCTATTTCATGCTTTTTCTTGGGCAACACAAAAACTATCAATTTTATTAAGATATGGGATTGTTTTTAAGATGTGCTTAAGTCTTGGTGCTAGAGAAAAAAGTAGGGAGATGGATGGAGGTTTCATGAAATTGATGGCACTAAAGCAAGGCATAGCTTTGTACTACTAAACAACAAAAGTAGTAATGGGAGCTCAAAACTTGTAGCTGGAATGAAGAGATCATGCAAAGATTTGCCATTGTGGACTATAGAGCAATCAAGTCATAGTGACATGTTTAGTTGATTTCTATTGCAAACTTGAAAGCATAGTCTTGGCTCAACAGATTTTTAGCTTGATGCCCTTGAAAGATCTTGTGGCCTAGACAGCACTTATAATTGGACATAGTTGCCAAGGAAACATTGACTCCATGTTTGAAAACTTTAACAATATATGAGATTTTGGCCTTCATCTTGATAGCTTTACATTCCTCTTGATCATCAGTGTTTACAGCTATGTAAGGCTTGTGAAACAAGAAAAAAAGTGCTTACATGCAATAAAGATGAAGTATGAGATTTGTCCTAGGCATGAGCACTACTATGGAGTGATTGATTTTTTGGGATAAGTAAACCATTTGGATGAGGCCTAAGGCCTCATCCAAATGTCTATGCCTCTAGGGCTGAATTGTGTAACTTGGACTAGTATTCTAAGCACGTGTAAGAAGTGGAAAAATATGTAGATTGGGAAGATACTTTGGTGAAGATTGATAAAAGGAACAAAGTTGCATATACATTTATAGCTAATCTATATAAAAATTAAGATTTGCAGTTAGGTGACTAAATTTTCCATTTTACTTTAGTTACTTAATCACACCTCCAACCACTTGAAAGAGTCTCACTTATAACCTCTATAAGTCTTATTCCAGACTTAGGGATTTGCTAGCCCTGAGAACTTTTACACTTAGTCCAAATGCTCTATGTGTTTGATCCCATGACCGACACCCAAAGGTACCACCGACATATCAACCCATTATACTAAAGCCATGCTCATTCACCATTGTCACACCGGTGATCCAACATCACCTACATCACAGTCCTATCTCTCAAAGATTAGGCCATTTGTCTATGAGTGATCATCCCAAACCCAAGTTTAGACCACTAATTGATCATCAAGAAATTGTTGCTTCTTTTAAGCCTATTTCCTCTTCTTGTCAACCCTTACTTATAAAAATTGATAAACCAAATTCAGTCTCAAATGGATAATTTATATGTTATAGTACTATAATTAATGTATTATCTAATGTCGCGAATGTGACTTCGGGTATCGAAAGATACTTGTCGGCCAGTCCTTACGGGCACTCTTTCCTTACTGCCACGACGGCAGGAGGTCGGTACTGCTGGTCCCTTTTATGGTCTCCACTCAAGCTAGTTGAGAAACTGGTCATCGCATGTGCACTTGACCAGATGAGCATAAGGACGGAATTCCTACATGCTATTTGTCAAGAATACTTGACCTGGTTAGAGAAACTCATTCGCTGACTTGCACTTGCTAGTGTTGGGAACCCCCGTGATATTGAAACTAGTCCCTCAATATTCGCTAGATGATAGCTTATCGTGTTTGCCAAACACCCTCGCTATCATGCCTTTAGTGTTGGTCTCATTTCGGTCCCATATACTATTTATAGAAAGTGTCTAGATTTGCTCATTTGGCATATCTACAGAATGTAAAGATCGGCCTGAACACAATGGTGTTCGTCCCGTGTCTAGATTCGCAATCTAAGGCCATTCCATATTTAGTAAGTTTCGGACTTGTCCCAGAGACTAACTCCTGGTACTAAGGGAGGCTTGGGGTGAAAGCCCAAAGCGTGTGTCCCTCAAGGGGGGGGGGGGCTGTGGGGGGTTCCAAATGTATAGTAGGGATAGTGGTTAGAATGCATGTCCGACCACCTAAGACATTAGTTTGGCTCCCGCTGGGCTGTGTCGCTCCTTGTTCTGCGTCCGGCTTGGGTCTAAACCCAAGCTCCACGCTGCTCTAGTCGGTGGAGTACCCTCCTCCTCGCGTTAGGCCACCGGTATGCCAAAATTGTGCCAGACTCCGTCTGACACCATTTTGCGTGCAGGTGCTGGATACGGGGACCTGGTGCTCGTGGGATTGTACTGGACCCTCGTTTCGTAGCGCTACGAGCTTGGAGTTCGGCTCCAAATTCAGGTGCGCTACATCTAGCTAGGATAATATATGTATATACATATATATATTTATAAACCTTATACCATTCTCCCCTCAAGAAGATGAAAAAATGATGATAATAAGTCAGATGGAACATTTGGAACTTCTATTAGGTGATTATAAATTACCATAAGAATTTGAAGTTTTCACAAAACCATTAATAAAGTTGTTGATACAATTGCCAAATGCTCAAATTAACCTCAAAGCAATTGGACCAAAGCAAAAACTTTGAGAACCATTGTTCTATAAAATGTCATTGCAATAAGTTATATATCTCATATTTAAGTCTACTTGCCAATAATCCTTTTAGACCATTATTAACTCTAACTCACAACTATAAATAGAACCTATCTTTACATCTTCCTTTCAATCAACATCCAAGACCCATGTTAATTTAGATTTATGACCTTTTGCCTTATAAATTATAGAGCTAATTATTGAAATGATCATAGGAGGTATGAATAATCATGCAATGTACAAGATTGCAGCTGGTTATAGAGAGAGGTATTAATCCAAGTCAGACCATCTATGAGCTATAACTTATTCCCCCATAAGAACGGCTATGAGCATGTGAGCCTCGCAAGCACAGCTGAGCAATTGGCTGTGGCACAATACGAGTTTGAGGCCATGAAGAGTCATCAGGTAAAGCATCTTGGACAACTGTGTGGTTAGGAACACTAAATATAGGAGATTGGATTCATTTTATTTGTCCTTCACATCCTTTTTATCCCTTCCTTGAAGGAAAAAAAGTTCTAAAACACTGACTCTATTTATATTTGTTACATTTGTCCTCACTTTGCCATTTATGTTTGGCCTCACTCCACTATTACATCCATTCAATTTCATTATCTACTCATCCTCACTCCATTGTTAGAGCTAAATTCCTGTTTGTCCCTTCTACCCTTTCCTCCAAAGAAAAAAAGTTTGAAATATTAGGGTAAAAAAGAGAAAGCAAAAAAAAGGGGAATAAACATTGTGGAAAAAGAAAAAGTGAACAAAACATTGAAAAAGGAATTTTTAGCAATAGTTAAGGTAAAAATTGAGAGAAAAGAAGGAAATGTTCAAAGCCTAGAGAATAAAGGATTTGCTATGATAAAATACTTTATCTAGCATGAGATAAGTAAATTATATTGTTCAACCTTCTCAACACATAATTTAACACTTTGAGATAGAAAAATCAATACAAAAATCCACACTCTCAAGGAGTACATAAACCTTTTAGCAATAATAATAAAACAAAAGCTCTTAACATCGCTCACAACTAAGGATACACACTTAACTTGAAATTCTGGCTAAAGTGATTCAACCTTTGGAATAGGAGAATATTTAATATTAGAATTGATTAAAGACTCCGCCAAAGAAACAAAAGCAAGATTCTCAACTTCATATACATGTTCAATATTTAGATTAGTATGAGAATTATAGAAAACACTCAACTCAATACTGGATTGGAAATGAAAATCATAAAAGTCAAAAGTGATTGATGTGCCAAAAAATATTATAGACAAGGAAGGAACACTAGGAACATAAAAAAGTAGCTTAGGCTGAGAAATCAAAAAAAGTTAAGAAAGAGTAAAAAGTAAAAAGAAATGATTAAATGGCAAATTAAAGGATTGATATCTATCTTGTGAAATCTCCAACTCATTTTCAAAGCTATCTTTAAAGTTGTCTTTGTAATAATCAAATTCTTTATCACAATTTAAAATCCATTCGAGCTCGTAAACATTGTCTTCCCATAAACTCGATCTTCAAATATTCTTTGAGAACTAGATTGCATCATCTATAACTCACTAATCAATGTCACAATCATATTTCACATTAACAGGAGATGGCAAAATGTCAAAAATAAAACAAGCTATATAATCACATTCTATAGAAGTTGAAGACCATAACACATCAAGGATGGGTGTAACATCAATATGATCACACCCCATAACATGAAAAACTCAATCCAATAGAGTAATATCAACAACCTACTCCTTGATCAATGACAACATAAGATGTTAAAAAAAGAGAATGCAATGAAGATAAGAAGAAAAAACAAATTTAAGCATAAGGACAATTAAAATTCTAGATCTTGACTTTATGGCCAACATAAGTCAAAGGGAAGTGACTTTGTGGTCAATATGGGTCAAAGGGAAATTCAAAAGTATATTTATGGTAAAGGCTAGCCTATCACAGTGAAGTAGTAGTGTAATGGAGTTTTTGAGGTAGATTGGGGGTGGTTAGGTGGTGAAGAACCTTAAGAGGAGGTGTTGTGTAGTCTAGGGAGATTAAACCTCTTATAAAATTAGATCTAAAAGAGAATGAAAAAATAAGAACAAAAAATATAATCTCAAACATTAGAGTAAAGCATTGCAAAAAACTTTATCCTTCAAGGACAAATTACAGTGCCTTGTAAACTCTTGAGTTTAGATTTCCCGGGAAGTCACCTAACTCAATACTATTCAAACCCAAGGACGCTTAATCCCAAATATCCCAAGACCATTAATCGATTGGAAAAGGGGGTGCATTCTTATTCATAGGTCCTTTCTCTCTATATTTGAACTTATGGATCGTCTCTTGAGTTGTTCTTTTTGGTTGCTTACAATCCACCATGCTCCCTGCAAATTCACACCTTCGTGAAAAAAAGCTGAGAGCCACAACTTTCCCGAGAGCCCTGCTTTCTTGACACCTTACCCCTTGGGTCGAGCCCAACGGGAGCAAACTAGACCAGCCAAATATCAATTAACATGTGGTGTAATTCCCTTAATCCAACCAACAAAATCAAACTTTAAACCACTTTGATACCAAATATAAACTTCTAAGTTTGGACTTCCCAACCCAGTATTATTCAAACCTAAGGACACTTAACCCCAAATATCCCAAGACCCTTAACCGATTGGAAAAAAAGGGTGCACTCTTATTCATGGGCTCTTTCCCTTTATATTTGAATCCTTATGTATCGTCTTTTGAGTTGTTCCCTTTGGTTGCTTACATGCTTCTTATCTCCATCAATGTGAACGCTCGGGATATAGGAATAAGTATATTAATTAAGGTTTATACTTTTATTTATATATAAGAATGGATAGACTAAATTTAGTTTTAAATGGATAGTTCATATGTTATAATACTATAATTAGTGTATTACTAGCCAGGATATACAAATATTTAATAAAGCATTTTTTTTTTAATTGTGAGTTTTAACTTAACAAAAAATACTTTGTGGTATGTGGAAAAGCCTTGGTGCTTCTCAGTGGTTGTTCCGGAGCTACATAAACATATGTTCTATAGAGCTGAACATGCTAAAATGTTTTCAGATCTTGACAAGAATGCAATGACTGGATCTTTGCACAAGGTTGAGCTTGGATCTTCATCTGCCATGCACTAAATTGTTGCAGCAATGTCTTCATAACCCACAACATGACATGAGCTTTGAGTGAATCTATATCAGTGACATTGTAACTCTTGAGGTAAGCATTGTGCTCAACAATGTTCCCCAAGATCTTTTCCCGAACAACTGTTGCATCCCCACACATATCCTTAAACTCATCAATCAGCACCTCCATTCTCCTTTCCCTTAGCACATTAGTCTCATGTATCAAGATGGACACCACAAACTCTCAAAAACAGCAAATAGATAGATAAAGGCAAGATCCACCAGAAGGTTCCTCTGACAGGAATGTCTGCCATGGTAGAAAACTAATAATGACATATGAGAAGCTTTGATTTGGTGGGTGCGACACTCAGCACAACTTTGCAAGTGAGGTGGAGACCACGAAAGACGGTCGAATGGCAGAGGCGATCTAAGAATATTCCTTACTCCATTCTCCTGCAATTAAGGTACTCATCATGCCTACATGGTAACTTTCCCTCTCTGATCTGGTTCCAGGAGCGAAACTTCGAAGATCGCTTTGTGAGAATGGAGGCGTTGGTCAATGAGTTTGAGGATATGTGTAGGAATGCAGCACTTGTTCAGGAAGAGATCTTGGGGGCCATTGTGGAGCACAATGCTTCTTGTGAGTACCTCAGGAGCTACAATGTGACTGATACAGATTCATTCAAAGCCCACATCCCCATTGTGGACTACGAAGACATTGCTGCAAGGATTCAACGTATGGCAGATGGAGGTCCAGGCTCTGTCCTGTGCAAAGATCCCGTCATTGTATTCATCTTGAGGTCTGAAAGCCTTTTCAGCATGTTTGATTGCTTAGCTCCATACAACATATGTTTTATGTAGCTCGGCAACAACAACTGATAAGCGCAAGGCTTTTCCACTTACCACAAAGTCCCGCAGCCTGAAAAACCATGCAGACAAGATTTCAGCGGGTTATAGAGAAAGGTATATCATGCTAAGCCAACAAAACCTCATAAACTCTTGTGTGTTTGAGCAGAGATTTTCCAGTCGGTTCCTTTCCAACAGCTTTGGCTTTCATGTATGCTCAACCTCATGGGACACTCTCCAAATCAGGCCTCCCAATCATGCCTGGTTCTAGCTTCTATTTCACAAGCCAGGTTTACAAAGAGAGGCCAAGCAGGAGCACAAGTACAGACGAGGTTATCTTTGGTCCTTGGTGGGAGTCAACGTACTGTCACTTGCTCTCTGGACTCATTTTACGCACGGAAGTGGATTATATTACTTCCTTCTTTGCTTATACTCTTGTCCACGCGTTCAACATGCTGGAGGCTGAATGGAGGAACCTCTGTTACGACATAAGAACTGGAAAACTGGACGAAAGAGTCAAAGACGTTAAATTGAGAGCAGCTGTTGTAGGGGTGCTGCGCGAAGATCCAGACTCAGCTGGCTCAATAGAGGAGGTCTGCAGCAGCAACGTGTCATGGGATCAAGGGATAGTTCTAAAGCTTTGGCCCAAAGCTAAGTACTTATTGACTGTGGTAACAGGTGATCTAGTTTTTTATTTCTCTATATATGTAATGTGTGGTTTTGCAGGTGGTATGAAACCTTACATTCCTGCTCTAAGGAGGTATGCAGGAGGTGTACATATTATGGGAAGGGCGTACATAGGTTCAGAAGGAGTCTATGGAATAAACATAGATCCCGCTACTGAACCAGAGAATGTTGTCTTCACACTTGTCCCTACAACATTATACATGGAGTTTCTTCGGCTCAGGGACAACAAGCTGGTGGACTCAAGTAACTTAGAAATCAGTGAGCAGTACGAACTGGTTATTACCACACATTCAGGTGAGCAGTCCTGCCTTGTTTCATTTCGCACCATGCAATCAACACTTTGCAGGTTTGTATCGGTACAAAGTGGGGGATGTGGTCAAAGTCGTCGCTTTCTTTCATGAGAGTCCACAAATGGCCTTTGAATATCGTCGCAGTGCGGTGCTAAGTGTAAGCCTGGACATGACCAGTGAACAAGAGCTCCAGAACGTGGTAAGAAGAACATGCATCGAGGCGAACCTGGAAATTGTGGATTTCACAAGTCACTCAAACCTGTCAGAGCAGCCTGGCCACTATGTCATTTACTGGGAGCTGAAAAACGAGCCAAACATTTACTCCAATCATGCGCTTCTAAATAGGTGTTGTAACGTTCTGGATCGGTCATTTACTTCTATTTTATACATCACGGGGAGAAGAACTGGTACAATCGGACCCCTGAAGCTTGTGACCGTGAAAAAAGGTTGTTTTGGAAGACTTCTGGAGCATGCAGTTAGAAATGGCTCTGCAGCTGGACAGTACAAGACTCCAAGGTGCATCAAGAGCCCAAAAGTGCTAGAGATTTTGGAAGGGGAAATTGTCACCACTTATAGAAGCTCGGAATACCTTCCTAAAGATCATATCTGAAATAACAATTCTCTGAGCCAATTGGCTAAAGGGGTGATCACTTTATCTTATTATCCTGACTTAATGCTTAATAATTGGGAATGAAATGATGATCTGTGATCATTGTCATTCATTGTAATGTTGATGGTTGAAATGGAAACCCAAACCAGGGTGGTCACTTTGGTCATTATGTTTATTAAACCTTGGTAAATATTCCTTCAAAATATTTTTACCCCATCATCCACAAGAATTGAACTAGGCTCAAATACCAATGTTAAGATTTTATCCTTTACACCCTAAACCAACTAGCTAAAAGGATTGCCTTATCCTATTATCCTAACCTGCTGTCTAATCTTCCATCAATTCTAATCCTTGGTAGAGAGAGATGCCATTGTAAACCAGGATTTAGTCCAGGATGTGTTTGATACGATCGATCTTGCGAAGCAAGCTGTGGAAGTCCAGTGCCCGAGAGTAGTCTCAGTGTACTGATATACTTGTGATGGTCACTTGAGATATGTTGATCCTGGAGAGTATCACCTGGCAGGCCATCCCGTGTGTCTCATCGAACACGATATTGACAATGCTGGTGCAGGGTGAGAGGCTGGAAGAAGTGAGGGCTCTCTTTGATGACATGGATTTGGTGGTAAAGGATTCAGAATGTGATTTTTACCATCTATGTAGGAGATTGTTGTGTTGCTTCCTTACACTTAGGTATATCTTCTGCTTATCTCATTGCAAGAAAGTGAACTGAGGAACTGGAGGCTAATCACCATGCTTACAAGGTCTACCCCTCTCAGCTTGCAAAATCTGGCACCAATGCCAAAGCAATGACTCTCAAGCTCCAACTAGAAGCCATGGATGGAAGGGCAGAGAAAAAACCATGGTTTTGCAAAGAGAATCTCTTCTCGCATTTATTTCTTGAAGGTCTGTTTGACGGCATGCCCGCGATGCTTGTTACTGTTGCCACTCTTGGGCATCTTCATGAAGCAGCGGATCTTTACCGCGATGCGACACAAGAACGCTTCATCGTGGAGCCTACTCATCTTCGAGAACGATGAGTATTGCCGCTGTGGAACACGCGCGCGGAGCTCTCAAGACCGCGGATATGTTTAGTGAGATGGCGGTGGATATGGATGGTTTTTCTCCATGGGAATGGACTACGGCGTGAGAAGGAGCAAGCAGTGTGGGGCGAGCGGATGAAGGCCATCTTCTCACAAACATGCCGTTCAAGCTACAGCTAGAGAAGAGTTATAGCCTGGACTCCATGATGAACTTGGCGGCGAGTAGAGTGTCTGCCATGGAGTCGGAAAATGCTGCTCCGAAATCTACCATTGATTCAGTTTACTGTAGCATTGTTGCGACAGTTCGTCTTCCAGCCGTCTTGCCAAGTCTCATCGTCTGCTGATATTCAACCTCGTGAGGTGTCATGTAGCATGACATTTGTGATGTCGCAGCACTTTGCTGCTCGCATTCGAGAATCTTTCTTGTTGAATACATCAAATCCCACGTTTTTCGTGTGAACTCAGAAGTGAGAACTTCGATTTATTCGTTTCCTGTAGATATGTACAAAATTGCGAGCTCCCATCTCGATCAACGGTGGCGGGTGTGAAACCTTTGCAAGTGTGCGTTCTCGAGCTTGTTGAAAAGCGATCGATTCGAATGAAACGAATGCTCTGGACTGAACATGCTGAAAAAGGTAGCTCGCAGATCCTCAAAGCTCGCGTTTTCCTCCTGCAACTCGATCTTAAAAAAAGAAAAGAAAAGGCAACTAGAAACGCACCTCGTGAACCTGCTGTTGCATCATCGTCCGCAATTCACCCAAGAAATCCTTCATTCCCTGCAAAGAAAGAAACGTTAAATAGAAGAAAAAAAATCTTTAACTCACATAGGTGGGGTTTTGGTGAAATCCTTGAAACTGGCTTTGTTGATCATACAATAACCTCTTTTTCCAGTCCGATAACACCACATAGGCGTTATGGATCTCCTGGAACTTTAACTTTGCCGCCTCTGGATCCCTTCCGAGGTACTTATCCGGGTGCCAAATCTGTCAATCAGTGTCTAGAATCACTCCAATCACTCCGAAAAATCAAGAAGGATCAACAAGAACTTACCCTCGCAAGCCTTCGGTACGCACTGCGAATCTCTCTCGGCGACGCTCCCCGGTAGAGCCCAAGAACAGCGTAGAGATCGCCGCTCGGCCTATCGCCCCCCATTTGCTTGCGATCGGGCGCCAGCGCCCTCGAGCGCCAGGAAAATCCTCGCGGAGAAGAACAAGACAACACACCACCGCCACCATCGCTCCGCTTAGCCTAATATAATTCTATCTCTTCGGGACACGTCACCGGGAAATGGAATCTAGAAGGTTCTGGATCCTGTTTGAAGAAAGAATATTCCAAAGAGTATGAAAAATTGGCGCGCTATGAAGATACGCGCCGTTGTCTTAATCTCCACAGCATGAAGACGCACATTCCAGCCCCCGCTGCCGCTATTACAAGCTGAAAAGATTCGCTTAGTATTCGTGGAGAGGCTGGTTTTCAGGGAAAAATCTTACCTTGCGTGAGACTGTGGTAGTGTTGAGTAAACCGGCGATGGCTTTCATCCGGGAAGGTCTCGGAACCAAAGCCACTGCCGTGTGACGCTGAGCGCATGGAACTGGCAAAATTCTACACAGGGCCTTCTGCATTGCGACTTCGTCGAGAGAGGACCTTACTGAGTCCCTCCATTGGTCTTGTGCCTGTGAAAGGAAAATGAGAAAACGATGCTCAAAAGCAAATCTCTTTTTTCGTTCTTCTCAAACCTGGAACGAGGTGTTCAAGTCGCCAACGTAGAGCCTTGATTGATACGCTCGCGACAATCGGTCTAGCCAATATATGTTCTCCTGTTTATCAAAAAAAAAAAAAAAAAAGAGGCATTGCTCGGTCAGCTCCAGAGAAAGATCACTCGTGATGGTTTGCACCTGTTGCCCATTCTCGTGAGCTCTCTGCTCAATCTCCAAGACCGTCAAAACTTCCTGTTTGGTGGGTCCTTCTAGTTGCAACCTTGCAACCTCTTCAAGAGAGAATTCGACCTAACAACAGAATGTTTATGTGCCAAAACATTCTGATTGAAGAGAAACTACTTACAAGTTTCCAGGCGCTATCGGGATCACAGGAGAAGCTGATCGCAATGTCACCACATACATCGCTTGACCTTGATGGCTTACTTCCGCCCAGAAAAGCCGAAACGGATGCAGTATATATCTGGTTACATCCCAACGTAAACAGAAGAGAAGGAAAAACAGAAGCTACGAACCTGCCCATGCTTGAACCTTAAAACTTGCATCATTTTCGTCTCCAGCAACTTGCTTATGAAACTTGTAAAGTGTACCTCTTCCATCTGGAAGGAAAGAGTAAGTTCCATCCTCAGAATAGCCTCAGAAATTACTCACCATATTGGAAGCTTTAAGCTCCACTGGAAATGTTATCTGTACGGAGCCTTGTGCTTCAACCATGCTGCGACGAACTTCCTCCCTGCACCACAGCAAGCTTGTCTCGTTGCAAAATGTAATTTATGAACCTTATGATTCCAGCAGGAAAAGTAAATGGCAGGCCTTGCAAATCGTCTCGATTGTACTTCATAACAGGCTCAGAAGGACTCGGGATACCACCCTACAAAAATAAGCATAAAAAATGGTGCTCATAATGAACTACGTACCAGATACTGTAGAATCAGCGGCACGACTTTCTCTGGAATAATCTTGCCAACAATCGCAATAGTAAAAGCAGAAGGATCTTTAAAACAAGAATCAAAGAAAGCGCACGCCCTCAGAGGATCAACTTTGCGAAGATCTTTTACAGTAATGGGCTGCATTGCAAGGAAATGTCCGTATTTGGAAGACGATGAGTAAACGCATGCATACCTTGAAGTAATAAGAGTTGCCATAATTGATTTCACGAACTCGGTTAACATACGCGGTAAATGGATCTCTTTCCTGAGCCTCAATGCCTTCCTTCGTCATTTGCATAACTAGCTTTACTTCATCGTTCCCAGGATGGACACTGGTAACGAAAAGTTGATAGATCAGCTGCACATATTATAAAAAAAAACGGTAAAGTGTGGGAAGAAAAAAGAAGTATACAAAATTGATGAACCTGGAGTGCAATTTCTAGATCAGTGGGAGAACAATCCCCCGAGAAGCTACGCATGTAGGCCCCAATCTTTGTTCCCACTTCAGCTCTTTTGCCAGCCAAGATATCCATGAGGACTGACGGCTTATGTCCAAAAACTCCAATCTCCCCAGCAATGGTAGATCCCATCGAACAGGTGAGAAAATCTTTCTCAGGCACTTGAGAGAGTCCACCATATGCAAATCCCGAAAATACTATCTGCATATATTACTGTCAGCTTCCAAGGTAAACGGACTCAAAACTAACCTGATCATCTAAAAAGTCCGTCGGCTTGTAACAAACACGAAGCCCATTGCTCAGAACGAGTTCTGTGGCTCCAAATTCTTCATAAACAGTGGTTTCCAGAATGACCCTGTGCAAATCATAGTCAGTAATGGAATGTGTGAAGAGAGATCCAAACAGAAATAAAACAATACCCCGGCTCAGGTTTATTCTCAACAACCTCCTCGGGAACGTCCTCTTCATTCCACGGAGGAATAGAGCCCTCGTCTTCGAGAGCTTGAACTTTCGCAATCACATTCTTTAAATCTTTAACCGTAACACTAACGCGAGGCTCTATCGTCTTGATAATGCAGCTGAGACGAGCCTTGAGAAGGTTAGCAATGTCAGCAACTTCTGTCGCAGTGATTCCTGCATGAACATGAACGTACACAAACATCAGGAAAATAGAAGCATCAGTAGCAAACCTGGTAAAACAGCCTTTTGAAGACGAGCTTCGTACTCAATTCCAACGACAGGTTCATTATGGAGGAAGTGCTGGAGAAACGGAAAAACAAAGGTCAAATATGGAGACGAGAGAACCACCCACCTCCATGTATTCTTCTCGGTAGGATGTTGATTGCATCTGGTCCCTTTCTAAGTATGCTGACTCCATGTCTGCTGTCAAAAACGCACGAACCATTGCAAGTTCACGTTCCGAAAATCCGTGCAGTCTTATTCTAGCGACCTGCAGACAATATACGTCAGCTAGAGAGAACATCCTCATAAGTACAACCTTACTTCAGTAAGAATGGACTCGACAGCTTCGAGCGTGCCTTTCTCCTTGCAGCTTGCAGTGATGGTGTAGGCTTTTACAGGTCGAACCAGATTGTCGTCCACTGAGGCACAGGAAAAGAAGGGAGGCTCCTGCTGCCTTGAAAGTTTAAAGAATCTCTGATTGAGAGCGCTATGAAACATTCCCTCGGCTACAGTATATCGATAGTCTGCAACTGTAACAATTTGCCTCGATGGGATTTTCCAGCTGACCACCACAGCTGACTGCGGACAAGTTGCGTTAGCGACGATTATGAAAGTAGAGCGTGCATACTTACTCCTCCGGCCTCTGTCTCAGCAAAGCAAGAAAATCGGGGCTCTTCGTGACTTGGAACATGATATAGAGGCAATTCATTGTATGCCCGTTTCTCAACCACGGGGTCCTTCTCTTGAAAGTGAAGCTTTATGAGTTCTACCACACTCTGCATCAACAGTACCATATGAGATCAACAAATAAAATTAAAAAACGTAGCAATTACCTCCGTATCTTCAAAGTCTCCTACGGCTACAAAAGCCATATGTTTCGGGTGATACCATTTACGATAAAAGTTTCTGACAGTTTCCGCAGAGACATTCCGAATGATATTTTCGAGTCCAATCGGTAAACGATCAGCGTACTGGGAAAATCACAAGTCAAAAACTGCAAAAAAATTCATAGTGATAATCGTTACCTTTGATCCTTGCATGAGGAGTAACCAATGCGCCTCTTGCATCCGTCCTAAGGCATTGCGATCGCCTCTGTACTCCTCCATGACCGCTCCCCTCTCCTTTTCCAAATCTTCTTGTGATGCACGAATCTAAACAAAACTCAACCATACAGAAAGAAAAAAAAAAAAGCGAGAGTAGATACCCCAGCGCTAAACTCCGCGAGGACCGAGATAGCTTGTGATAGAAGCTCTGGTTTGTCAACAGGAACCAGGAGCTCGTAGATAGTCTCGTCTGCCGACGTCATGGCATTTTGACAAGCACCAAATTCAGCACCAATGCTCTCCAGGAATTTCACAATGTCGTGGTTCGTATACTTCGTCGTGGCACTGAAAGCCAAGTGCTCGAGAATGTGAGCCACTCCACGCTCCTCCTCCTCTTCCATTACCGACCTAGACAAGCAAAGAAGCAAATAAGATTTCCCGGAGAAACGCAGAGAATGCAGGGAAGAAAGCTCCATACCCGATCCTAACTCCCAGCGCGAGCGCAGCTCTCGCCCGAGGCTTGGCATTCTGCCGAACGTAATAGCACATACCATTGTCAAGCGTGCCATAGACGACCCCGACCGGCGTCGACGGCAAAAAATCCTCCTCGCGCAGCTCCAGCGGCTTGAGCGATTTGAAGGAGAGATCGGATGGCATCGCTAGAATGTCCGCGGCGGCTGGAGCAGCAGCAGCGGCGACCTCTCCTCGCTCCATGGCGATCGCCATTTCATCCACCAGAGAGCTCGAAAGCCCTAAAATTGGAAGCTTAGGGTTTTATACAGAGTTAAAAGCGTTTACATTAAAGGCGATAACAGACTTTAGCTAACTATACACATTACAGTTAGTTAGCACAGCTTTACGTAATACTTACTTGCACGAAGAGAGGAGAGAGTTCACGACGTGGATGACGAGCCGGAGAGAGTTTGCGAGCTCGCCGGTAGCGGGTGTGATCATCACTTGGCGATGGAGGTTCTGGTAGAGCTGGTCCAGGAACGCTCTCATGTGTGGCGCTAGAACTGGATCGCTTGGATTCAATGCCACTGATGCTCCTTGGATCCAAGTTAGCTTGCGAGCGGTGTCTTTGCCGAGATCACAGCCCAGTTGCTGGACGAGCGAGAGCAGCACCCCTTGGCTCAGTGGAGGTGTCGCGGACGAGAAGACTGTCGCGGGATCCACCTGGAGCGAAAGTGTCTCATTTTCCATGGAAGAGATCGAATGGAAAAGAGTACCTGGTTGCAAAGCCACGACACGACCGAGACGTCGCTGAGTGAGAGAGCCTTGTTGAAAGCTTCCTCCAGCTTCCCTTGAGATAGTAGCCTGCTGAGCTCTTTCGTGGGATCCAGCGTCTCTTCGACATGCTGCAAAGAGAGCACCTGTAAGATATCGCAACTTAGTTACCGAGAAAGCGTCTGTTAACGTAGAGAAACGATCACCTTATCAGGGAGCGTCCCGCTGGCTTGTTTGAGAGGGAACTGATAGCGAGTTTCCGCAAGAGCAGCAAGCTTTCTCTGGCCATCAGCCAACTCAGACTTGAGTGTTTGAGCCAGGCTATTCACCGAGTCCTGAAAACAGTAACAGGGCAGGGCGTAAGAACATACAGAAATGAGAAGCCGGTTTTAGACCTGAAGGCTCGATGCTAGAGCATTATGGGATGCGGAAGCTTGCTGCTGTGCATGGCTAGTGTGCTCAGCCATTCCTTTCTGGAAAGCTCCATCAACTTGTTCAAACATAGCTCTACATGAGCGCTCGAAACTTGGGACAACGGATCCTTCGAAACAGGTCCGCATTGCATCCTGCTCGCACAAGTGCTAAATGAAAAAAACATCACATTCAAAAGAATACAGCACCTGTAATGCCTGCTTGGCAGTAGTCTGGAATTGAGATTGCAAGTGACGGGCCACAGATGCATCCAGCTTCGTTGTGACTGCCTTCTCCACATTTGCTACAGCTTTCTCACTCAAGTTCTACACACAAAGCAAAGGTGAGAAGCACGTTGGAACTAAAAGCTTAGGGGGACAAACCTGTGAGGATTCAGCCAAAGCAGTCGCTATTGCCTTCTCAACTGATTGAGAAAGCAGCTTAGCAACGGCAGGCCCGACGGCGGCCAGTTCCTTCTTTAAAATACGCTCCATTGCCGTCGGCACCTCCTTCGTTGAGTTTATGCAGTTTGTCAGCGTGGTTGTCAGCTGCTGAGACCGCTCACGCTCGGCTTTCTCTCGTTTGACGCTTTCTTCCTGTAGCTTTGCATACATCGCGTCCACATTCGCTTTCAAAATCTTTTCCAGCCGTTGCCCCAGAGATGTCTCCATGCGCTTCACCTCTTTAGTCATAGGCACAGTTATCATGACCGACAGCTGCTTCTGCAAATCCTTATGCATCGCCAAGAGCTGAAAATACAAACTTAAGAAGATTGAATGACAAACAAAAGCCTCAAACCTGGTTAAGAGTGTCTTGCAGACTATCAGAAGGAGAAATCCCGTTCGTTTCCGCCTCAGGAAGAACAGCACTTGATGACGGAACTTGTACTGCGGGCGCAACAGCCTTGTTCTTGTTTTTCTTGCCTTTTAAAACCGCTGGAGACTGAGAAGCTGATGCAGCATTTCCTTCCGAGATTTTGGAGACTTCTTTCAGGTCGCCTAGATCCTCAACAGGCATTCCCACACTTCTTCCGTCGGGGAGTTCGGCCTCATCTGTCCGTTCGGAAAAGGATGGCTGCATCGATGGTTGCGAGAACTTCTGAATGAGAGCATCTGCTTCAGCTTCAAGTTCCGGATTGCCGCTCTCCAGCGCGTCGATGATCTCATCAGTATTCTCAATGAAGCCTCGCGCAGTAGAAACCCTTGCCTCATATGTACCTTCGTCATCGCCACCAGCTCTTGCATCAAATTCTTCATCCCCTGTCGTTCCAGCTTTCAAGGGAACTTCAGTCTTCGAACGAGCAACCATTGACATCAACTCTGATGGCGTAATCAAATGTGGCTGCTTTGACGGCTTTACACCTTCCTTTTTGTCTTCCTTCTCATCAATTTCCTCACTCCTCTTCGCAGGCTCTGTCACGTCCAAGACGGCATCCGATAAAACAGCTTTATCGATTTGATCTGAAATAACAATAGTCAGTCGATCACCACATGTCGAAATAAAAGCTACGTACCAGCGTCGGAAGGCACCGCAGCTGCCACCTGACTATAACTATCCTTGGGCTTACTATCGACGTGTCCCTTGCCTTTCTCCGTAGTCGTAGCAGCGAAATCCTTGTCGATGCTCGGTTTTGGAGTATGCATTGGTGACGTTGCCTGAATGCTTGCTGAGAAACCGGAATCAAGTACCGAATCTGGTTTCCCTTCTGCTGGAGGAAGGCACATAAACAAGCTCAGCGAGTATTGCTGAATAGCCTGCGTCTGGACGCAGTATACTTGCATGGCCCCGTCACCATCCAGTTGACTGTCGCTGGTAGCCGTAAAGCTCAGAATCGGCATTTTGACAGAAAACTCTGCTAAATAGTCCATCCGGGCCAAAGACGCCGTTGTTCCCATCTCGACGTGTATCGCGTAGATAGCATTCCTCTTTGCGTTTGCTAGCAAAATCAGGTTGGCGCGAGGAACTATTATCATCTGGTTGAAGAAGGCTTCCTCAACCTTCTTTTCGAGAGAGCTTTTCAGCTCCAAAGTTTGTATGCATTTCCAATTCACCGCATCAATAGGAGCCCAAAGCTTCAGGTCCTTGTTCAGTGGTCCCTACAAACACAGGATCATTAAAAAAACTTATCTCATTAGTTCGAGACATACCGCAGTTAGCAGGACAACTTGGTCTTGACGTCGAGGAGAGCTCAAAAATGCAACCGAATTGACGGTCAGTGTGCCGTGGGGATTGAGTACAATCGGTTGATTATCGCCCCAAATACGAACCTGAAAATTTGGATGGGAACAAGAATAACAACGTCCTGAACACAAACCGTTCCATCTTTGGACGAAGAAGCAAAACGATGACTTCCGGGATAGACAGCGAGGCCAGTGACTTCGTCCTCATGGTTGCCGACGACACGAACCCCATCAATGGGGGTTTTCACGTTGCACTGTATCGGCTCTTCAGCTGAAAACGTTGTATTTCTGAACCTAGAGAGGTCTATAGTCAAAACATACTTTCCAATGCCCACTATCAAAAAGTCCTGCACAATTGGGATCACTTTTAGCCGCGTTTCTCAAACATGAAAGGATACTAACCTGGCGTGAGTGCCAACACACGCGTGGTTGAGCAGATTCCCAGTCCCCAACAAAATGGATTGCTGCTAGAATCTGCTCGGTCGGTAAGTTCTTCCCATCTTCACCAACATCTTCCACTATCCTCCGAGCAAAAACCCGCCCTTCGATGCTTGAACTAAAACAACCACCAAAAGAAACATTCAGTCACCATCATGCGAATAGAAGATCGCCATAAATACCTTGCTAGAACATGAGTATCACTAGACAAAAAAGTCATATCCAGTACCCTCTGCAAATCGACGAAAGCGTCAGTCCGGCCTCTAGAAAAACAAGAGAAAACTTACTTGGGTATGGCCTGCGAAGAGGTTACGTGTCCCAGTGTTAATGTTTAGAATACGAATTTTTCCAGCTCGGAGACCATAGCAGATGTAGCTCTTGTTCACGGCAATCTGACGTCCCACCACCAACGCAGGCTCGGAGCTATAAACAGTGATCGTAGAAACTTCGAGCTGAGGCTGTTCTTCTGTATCACCCCGATTGTCGATATCATACACCGCTCGCTCTCCAGACAAGAATCGTCCCTTTGCTGCTTTTCCCGAGATCCTGCTTTGCGGAGCCAAACTACTCACGGGAGGAGCCGAAGGCAAGGCTGGAGCTATCGCTGGAGGAGCCTCGGAGGTTTCAATGGCACTGGGAGCTGTATTGGAAGACGAGGAAGAAGTAACAGTAGTGGTAGTAGTCACAGCAGCTGGTGGAAGCTCCAAGGACGATGGATGGCTCAAGAGAGGAGCTTCGCTGCGAAGATCTCCCGTGGACTGTGTGGTGAGGAGAGCCATAAGCCTTGCTCCATCCAAGGGCGGGCTCGACACGGATGGCTGTGAGGAAGATTGTTGGGGCAGTGGAGAGACAATCGATTGGCTGAAAGGAGCTTGAGGCTGGATGAAAGGAGGAGCTGGGCGAGCGTCCTGGGCGGGATAATGCATGAAAGAGTATGGCGCTGGGAATGGGAAAGAAGGCGCTGGCGAGGACGATACTGGAGGAGGATAAGTGCTCTGTGGAGGGAAGGGGTAAGGATGATACGGAGAACCTGTGCTGGAAGCCGGTGACGGCGATGAGCTCTTGAAGAAATTCTGGATGTCAAAGTTTTGAGGAGCGCCCGTCCCCATCTCTTCAGTCGCTAGAATCCTAGAATCACAGCCGAGGCGAGTAGAATCAACGCGCGCACTGGAAGAATGCCGCAATGCTTACCGATGATCGAGCGGATCACAGAGCTCCGCGGCCCCGGGCGGCGTCCAGCTTGGAAGCAGCAAGCGATGAAGCTGGCCCTAACCCTAAAATCTCGCTCCTTGGATACCCATTGTCGCCATAGCCGGATCACGCAAGGACTTCCGTACCCTTCAAAAGTGGAACGCGCCTGGCCGTCGGATCCTGCTAGTACCGCGTACGGCAAATATCATGACTTTGATATTCCCGATTTGTAGGCATCTTTCTTACGTTTGCGGCGTTATTTAGTTCAACTCATAAATGTGGAACATAGGATAGAAATATCCATGCTAGATGCGAACTTTACAAATCTCGTCAAGGATTGCAAGAGCCTCTCTTTGGCAAAATCTCTCCACAAAAAAATCCTCGAGAGCGAGCGCCGAGACGAACGCTTCCTTTGCAACCTTGTGGTGGGCATGTACGGAAGGTGTGCAAGCTTGGAATCTGCGCAACTCGCCTTTAACAATATCCGCAATCCCAACAATTTCAGCTGGAACATTCTTCTCACAGGATATGCCCAGAATGGGCATATTGAGAAAGCCAAAGAGATTCTTGAAACGATGCCGAATCCCAACACTGTCTCATACACAACGGTCTTAGCTGCCATTTCTTACTATGATAAAATCGAATCTCTTACGAAGTTCTTTGAAAACATACCATGCAAGGACATCTTTACGTGGAATGTGATGCTTCACGCATATGCCCGGACGGGGCATATGCTACTTGTTACCGAGACTCTGGAGAGAATGCCCGTGGCAGACATAGTCTCCTGGGCAATCGTTATTCAAGCTCACGTAGACGAAGATCTTGATCAAGCCATTGTTCTATTTAGTTCGGTTCCAGCAACGGATCTTGTGTGCTACAACATCGTCATGCAAGCTTGTGTGAAGCACGGCCAGATAGAAAAAGCTCGAGACATCTTTGAATCCATGCCAGAAAGGAACTTGGCATCGTGGAACATCATGGTGGGAGCTTACGCATCCAGTGATCATGCAAACTGTGCTGAGGCACAGGCGATATTTGAGCAAATGCCCGCTCGAGAAATTCTCTCGTATAATTGCCTCCTTACTTTTTACGTTCACAGCAATGAGATTGGAGTAGCGAGGACGATCTTCGAAAGACTTATGCCCGAGCACGACACGGTCTCGTGGACCATCCTTCTCACGAAATATGCCCATCTTGGGTATCCAAACATCGCCGAAGAGATGTTTAATAGCATGCCTGTCTACGATGTTTATGCTTGTGATGCAATGCTGGCTTCTTATTGCCAGGATGAGAACCTTGAGAAAGCGGAACTATTGTTTGCGTCCATGCCGAAGCGAGCCATAGTCTCGTGGAACACACTTCTCGCCGGATATGCCCGCAAGGGGCATGCTGCGAAAGCAAAGAAGCTGTTTGACGAGATGCCCGAGAAAGATATTCTGTCGTGCAACTCCTTACTTCTGGCTTACGTTGAATCCAAAGAGAAGGTTTTCTTTGATCAAGCCTGGAATTTTTTTCTCACACGGACGCCACACCACGACGTTGTTTCGTGGAACACCCTGATATCGGCCTATGCCCAAAACGGGTATGTAAAGAGCGCCCGAAACTTATTCGACAGTATGCCACACCGGAACCAAGTGAGCAATAATGCAATGATCTCCGCGTATGGAAGTTTTGGAACAATCGAGGAAACAAAGCTCTTCTTTGACACAATGCCGGCTTGGGACTCACAGTCATGGAGCGCGATGATGAATGCCTACTCTCGAAATGGACGAAGCAGCGACGCTATCGATTTCTTCCGAGACTTGTGCTTCTCAGGAATACTTCCGGACGAGCTCAACTTCGCGAGCGCTCTCGAGGCCTGTGCGAGTGTCACGGATCTAGCCAATGGCCTCGAGATCTACTACAAGTTTGTGAGCTCGGGACTTCCCTGGGATACAAAAGTTGGCTGTGCTCTCGTCGACATGCTGGGAAAATTCGGCCAGTGCGATCTCTCGCGACAGGTTTTCGATCGAGTTTCCCACCGCACTGTGGATTTGTGGGCTGTTTACATGCAAGCTCTTGCTCACAACAGCAAGAACTTGCTCGCGTTGCAAGCTTTATACGAGATGTACCTCGAAGGTTTGAAGCCGGATCAATCGGTGTTTGTCACCATTCTCTCCGTTTGCAGCCAAGCGGGATTTGTCTCTCGGGGATTGGAGCTCTTTGCAAGAAATTTTGATGATCTCTCCAGCAGTGAGATCTTTAGCTCTTTGCATTACCACTGCGTGATCGACCTTCTGGCAAGAGCTGGGCGGCTGGAAGAAGCCCAAAGATTATTCCAAGCCATGCCTTGCAAGCCGGGCGTGAATGCGTGGTCGGCACTGCTCAATGGTTGTGGCTTGCATCGCGATCTTGATCCAGCAAGCTTGCGAATTTTGGCGGCAATCCAATGGTCGACATTTAAAGCTGGTCAATCAACGGTCCACATTTGAATGGATTCACAACCGAGAACGCTCTTCGAGTGGAACGTACTCCTTTCTTCTTGCGCTCGCAGAGGATGCCTCGAGGAGGCAAAGTACGCATTCGATTCTATGCCCGCTTGGAGCCCAGTTTCTTGGAATGCCCTTCTCGCAGCTTGCGAGAAGAATGGATCCGTGGACGATGCCAGGAAATTCTTCAACCAGATGCCGTTCAAGAACCTCATCTCCTGGAATTGTATCCTTTGCTCCTATTCTCAAAAGGGACACCTCGCAGAGGCCGAAGAGATCTTTCATTCCATGCCACAAAGAAACATTGCTACGTGGAACACCCTGCTAGCTGCGTATTCCCTCCGAGGTCTCCTAGAGAAAGCTACGCTTGCGTTCGAAGAAATCCCGGAAAGAGATCTTTTCACTTGGAACAGCATGCTTAGTACATATGCCCGTGTTGGGGAGTTTTCTCAGGCAAAAAGAGCGTATGAGACAATGCCAGAGAGGGACTTAATCACCATGAACGTTTTTCTAAAATTTTTGGTCAACCGACACCTTTTAGAGGAGTCTATAGATTGTTTTTGTTTGATGCCTGAGAGGGATCTTGTGTCGTACACAACATTGCTCACAGCATATGCCTCGAACAGGCAATTTGATAAAGCGGAAACACTGTTTGCTATCATGCCTCAGCAAAGTATTGTCTCCTGGACGGCCCTTCTTTCGATGTTCGTTGAGGCTGGAAAATTTCATCAGTCATTGAAAACGTTTGAATCAATGCCGAAACACGATATAGTTTCAGCAAACGCAATGCTTACTGCGTATGCCCGGTCTGGGCGCTTTTGGGAGATGAAAACCCTGTACGATAGGATGCCTGTGCGTAACATCGTCTCGTGTAACATTATGCTTGAGTCGTATACGCGATGTAAAAGCTTAGGGGACGCTCTTTTGTTTCTAGAAACTATTTCTCGCTTAGACTTAGTGTCATGGAATATCGTTCTTGCAGCATATGCCTTAGCCGGGCATATTGAGTCTGCAACATGCACATTCGCTCAAATGCCTGCAAAAGACTTAGTGTCGTGGAAAGCTCTTCTTGGTGGCAACATGAGAATTAGCGATTATGCAAGCACCATCAAAGTTTTCAATGAGATGCCTGAGCGAGATGCTGGATCATGCACCTACATGCTCACAGCTCACATCCAAGCCCGCCGCCAACCTCTTACAAAGAAATTCTTCTTCCATGACATGATCGAGCGAGATCTCGTGACATGGAACACTATGCTCAATTGCTACGCACAAAGAGGCCTCCCAGGATCGACCGAGCTCTTCTTTCACACAATGCCTGAGCGTGACACCATCTCCTGGACGGTTGTGTTACACTCTTACGCAAGCGTCGGCCACCTCGAACGCGTACAGGATATCTTTTCTAAATTGAAGATGGCGGCCGAGCTTGCGGATGGGATTTGCTTCGTCCTAGTGCTCGCTACGTGCGCACGGCGGGGAAAACTCTACGATGCCCGGTCACTTTTTACCTCCATGGTAGCTGACTATGGTGTGGAGCACACCGAGCAGCACTATTCTTGCATGGTTGACGCACTTGGCCGGGCTGGTCATTTGCGCGAGGCGCAAGAACTCTTGAGTAGCATGCCGTTAGTTCCCAGGATCTTGGAGTGGTCGTGTGTTCTTGGAGCCTCCAAGCTCCACTGTGATGGCGACCATGGAAGCTGGGCAGCTACGGAGGTCCTTTGTTTGGACCCAGGAAACCAAGTAACATATACGATACTTGCTAGCAATTCATTCCCTTTTGGATGAGCTTAAAGATTGACACAAACGGATGTACTATTGGATCTAAGTGCCGAACTGTTTGGCAATGTGTTTGTCTGCATGGATTGTACATGCACCAAGAGGTTCATCCATAGAACATCGCTGCATTCCTTGGAGCAATCTCTCGAGCTTTACTCGACAGGTACACATCCTCTTTGATCACGTCAGTGATAAATCCTCATCTCGCAAGTGCAGCTCAGTGGAAAAGGATTGGCATGATCCTCATGGATCGATATAGAAACTCAAGGTCTCGCTAACCAGATGTGCAACGAAAGTGGATAGATTCTATCCAAGATCATAGTAGAGCTCCAAAACGTTGTGATGGTGATGTTGGGCACTAGCAATTAGCATGGATGTCGTTTTGCCATTCAAATGCTCAAGTTTAAGCAGCTCATACAGTTTCAACCATCGCATGTGATTCAAGCTTACTTCAAAGTATTCAATATCATTTGTGTGGAGGGGCAGTTTGTAAATATCAAAATCTAATTTGGTGCACAGCCATAGTATGGCAATAAATATATAATTGTGTGTGAAAGCATTATATATTTACACATGTGTGAATTTATTTTTTTTGTTTTGAGTTGCATACAAAAATGTTATGCACACAATAAATTTTCGATTGTTATATAGGCAATCAAAATGTGATTATGTGTATAACATTTTTGTTATAGTTTTTGTCATAGTTTTTGGTTAGTTATAACTAACCAACTAGTTAGTTAACCAGTTAACCAGTTATAGTTAGTTATAAGTTAGTTATAACTAGTTAGTTAGTCATATTTTTGTCAAACTACCACACAAGACTGATACCATATCATCCCAAATAATACGATGTCATTGCAAATCTCAAGGGTTGTACATCAGCAAGTATGCACCATAGGTTTCACACAAGCAATTATACAATGTTTATGTGAGATAAATATTCTAAAACTCATCTTTTGCATTTACAATATCATGTGAAGATGAAATTCATGAGTGATCTATGGAGTAGTGGGACAAGAAGCACTATCACCATAATCAAGTATTGAGTGGGAGCTTCTTATCTTGTCATAACATTATATATTATAATAAAGTGCTTAGTTAGTGCTTTTTTGGTCACAACTGTTAACTTTTGTTTCTTCGGCAAGTATGTAATGTGAGACACAAATCCCTAAGCTCCAAAATGGAGCTAAAAGGGTGCCACATAGTAGTGGCCGAAGCAAAAGCCAAACAAATGTAACACATTTGGACTAAAAAATTTCGATTTGGATAGTCGAAAGTGAGGATAGAACTCCTAACAAAATGCTTAGGGAATGAGCACGAAGCAAGTAATAAGTGAGTCTCCAAAAAAGGCACTTGAGATGGACTCGAGATAGAGTCTGAGAAGGAGTCCAAAATGCACCCGAAACAGAATCTAAAATGGGACCTGAGATGGACCCAAAATAGAGTCCAAAATCGAATTCAAGATGGACCCTAGAAGGAGTCCAAGATGAAGTCCGAAATGGACCCAAGATGGAATCTAAGATGGACTTGAGATGGAGTCTGAGATGGAGTTTGAGATGAACCCAAGAAGGAGTCCGAGGTAGAGTCTGAGATGGATCTAAGATAGAGTTTGAAATGAACTTGAGATAGAGTCCAAGATGGAGTCCAAGATAGAATTGAGACTGAGACTGAAATTGAGTTCGAGTCCAAAATTGAGTTCGAGTCCGAGATTCGAGTTCGAGATCCAAGGTTCGAGTCCAAGTCCAAGATCTGAGTTCGAGGTCCAAGCTCTAAGTCCAAGTTTGAATACTAATATAAATTGTTGGGTGAAAGCCCAAAGCAATTGTTCTCCAAGGGGGGCTGTAGGGGGTTCCAAAAATATAGTAAGAAGAGTGTGGGGGTTGGACTTTAGTGGAAATAGTTTGGCTAGGAAAAGCTAGTGTAGCCTAAGAAGGCTATGATGATATAACCATTGAGAAGTCCAAGGCTAGAGTGAATATGGACAATTAAATGAGGTAGTTTAATGAAGTGTTCAAAAGTCGATTCTAACTCCCCTGGGAGATCAAATAATCAATGCTCCTAGTCTAGTGGGTAGCACTACCTACTTGGATACTTGGCATGGCTCATCAGAATCTCGCTCTAGCCACCTATTTAGGGCATCTAAAGGCAAATGGGAACAATACCCATGAAACTTGCATAGGGCCACAGTGTTATGAAATGTTGTCTTAAAGTCGCAAACTATGGATAGAAAGAGGAGCAATCCACTTGTGTGGTGACCAATGATATAGTCATACAACAAAGAAGTTCTAGAGGTCATTGGGACATAGTGGTCGGGCTTGTGGGCCTTGACCCAGAGACAGTGTTAACAAACATAGTTGTGGATAGAAAGGGACTTGATAGAGACTGAAAAAAGGATATTGGGGAAAGTTATTCCTCAAGATTCAATCCAAAATGTATTTTGACTTTCATTGTCCATAAACGGATAAGAGTTGCTATACAACTGAAAGGAAGAATGTACAACAAAAATGGCCATACCAATAAAAAGGAAGGGAGAATTGGGAGAGATAGAGCAAAGAGAATAAAGTAAACATAACTTCCCTCATTGAACATTTTGGTCCCTAAACAGGAGATGTCTTGTTTCAGAGTACTCAATTGTCTCAGTCCATGACCTGGTTTGGGAGGAGTAACCTCTGTTGCATGTGGCCAGAGACAGAGCTGGAATCTCAAGCTGACTTGGAAGCAGACCCTTCTGAGCTTTAAGCTCGGTATATGCAACACGTTGTGAAGGGTGGGAAACACAATTTATAGGCCACTTTGTTGATCTATTCTTCAAAGAAGTGTGGGTGCAGTTTTGATTGAGACAATGCCTTGCTCCTCAATGTGTGGTGCTCAGGTCTTAACCTTACATACACCCACTCTCTAAACGTCCGATGTTTGTCCACATAATACTTCATCCTCGTCTGGGCTACTTCTAAGCGTTGTTGCACCCTGGAATGCATTGCTTATATTGCTTAGAGGTGATCATCAACTGCTGGGGAAGCTGATGGTCAGAAGTTGAAAAGTCCTAGGACATCTTGGCCATGAAGTGCCACATATGGTGCCATAAGTGGTGTCTTGTATTGTAAGCATACTCAGCATGTAGAAGCCATCACAGCCATGAAGTTGGTTTATCCTTGCAGAAAGCCTATAGTGGTGTCTCAAATGTTTGATTTGTGTGCTCAATTTGAGTGTCAGACTAGCACTGCTGAAACTGAGCGTTGTTCCCAGGCTTCTCCAAGAATTTCCAACGAACTTGGAGCCTCTATTTGAAACGATGTCATTTGGAATACCATGAAAGCGTAGAAAAAAGCCTTGGCCACCTTGTGAACTGAGAACGTGACTTTGATCCAAAGTTTATTTAGGAATTTTTTTAGGATTAACAAAAATGCTTTATAGATTTTGTAAGAATTACCAGTCTTTTAATGTTGATGATACAATATTAAGATATAATTTTTCTATGAGCATTATCACAAGTCTAAAGGCTTTTGGATGTATAATTTCATTTTCTTGATGTTGTGCATGTTAATTAACTTTGCTACTACTAATTGTTCTTCAAACATTTTATGGTTTTCTTTTGGATTCAGTACAAAAGAAATCAATTTCCAGCTCTTGGGCTCCTGCCAGACAAAGAAGCATTGCATGCTCCAAAATTCTGCAAAGCTGCATTTTTACACAATCACAAGCTGGAGGAGTCCGATTGTCCCAGTTCTCCCCATTATGTATGGGATAGAAGTGAATGACCATCACAACACCTGTTTAAAAGCAAATGATTGGAGTAATCTAGATTGTTTATCAGCTCCCAGTAGATGGCATAGTGGCCAGGCTGCTCCGACAGGTTTGAGTGAATAAACCATCAATCCAAAGTTCTAAACTCAATGATAGTAGAGAGAGAGAGAGAGAATTCACTAATTTAGTTGCTAGTGTTTCTTCTAGTGAGCAACAGGTACGGAGCAGCATTTCTCGGCTCAAGGACAAACACTCTACTTGCCGCCAAGTTCATCGTGGAGTCAGGGCTATAACTCTTCCTGCAAGCTCCGAGAAAGCAAGTCCACTCAGGAGCTTGCGGCTTGAACGGCATGTTTGCGAGAAGATCCTGGGCTTCGTCCAGTCGCCCAGCTCGCCCCAGCAAGTCGATCACACACCCATAGTGGTGCTTGCTCGTTCTCACGCCATAGTCCATTCTCATGGAGCAAAACCATCCATATCCCGCCTCCAAGTCCCCCGAATGGCTACACTCGAGTAGAATCCACGTAAAGCTGATCTCATCTGGGCTGCTCGCGCCTTCCATCGTCATCTCTCTAAACATCTCCTCGGCGGTGCCGATGTTTTGCGAGCTCTGTGCGAGAACTCCCAGCATCGTGTTCCACAGCGGCAAATCCTCGTCGCGACTGATGGTCTCGAAGATCTTTCTCGCGGCGCTGGGCCTGCCATCACCGGCGATGGCGGCGATGAGCAAGCTCCACGACGCAGCGTTCTTGTGCGGCATCGCGGTAAAGAACCGCTCGAGCTGTTCCATATGCCCTTCTCGGGCATACGCGACGAGGATAGCGTTCCAGGAGCTCACGTCGTGGGCAGGCATGGAATCCACAATCGCCTTGGCCTCTTCCACACGCCCAAGCTGGGAAAACCCATTTACCATCGCGTTGCATGCCACCACGCTCCACTCGCGCATCGCCGAGAACACGTCCATCGCCTCAAGCAAAAGCCCTCGTTGTGCATATGCGTGGATCGCCGACGTAGATGAAACCACGTCGTGGTGTGGCATCCTATCCAGCAGAGCTTCGGCGTCCTGGTATCTCCCACTCTGAGCGTAGGCGCACATCATGGTGACAAACGAGACGAGGTTCTGGCGCGGCATGGCCGCGAAGAAAATCCTAGAATTCTCCAAGGAGTTTAGGTCGCGAGCATAGACGCTCAGCATGGCATTCCAGCACGCGATATCGTCATTGTACCGAGCCGGGATGCTCGCAAAGATGCGCTCCGCTTCACTGGCTCGATTGCTGTGAGCGCAGCCGCCGAGAATCGTCGTGCACGACACGGAGTTTCGCTCGGGCATGGCGTTAAAGAGCTCCAAGGCAGAATCAAGATGCTCGCATTGGGTATATGCAGATAGCATGGCGTTCCACGAAATAAAATCCCTCGCAGGCATCTCGTCAAAAACCCTTTTAGCTTGTTCTAAATGCCCGTGTTTTGCAAAGCACGACAGCATAGCCGTGCATGAAATGGTATTCCACTCGGGGATTAACCCAAAAAACTCCTTAGCTTCAGACAGATGCCCCAAGGTGGCAACTGTAGCAAACATGGCACTCCACGAAGTTAAATCTTTCGCGGGCATGCGATCAAACACATCCTTGGCTTCCTCAAAACAATCCGCTTGCGAGTATCCTGACAACAGCGCATTCCAGGAGCTCAAGTTCCAAACCGGCATCCCATCAAAAACCTCCTGTGCTTTCTCCAAATGCCCAGCTTGGGCATATCCAGTAAGCATCACATTCCACGACACCGGATCCCTGTCCTCCAAATCCATGCCATCAAAGATCGCCCTCGCTTCATCCATACTCTCACCCTGGACGAGCGCAGTCAAAATCGTGTTCCATGACACCGAGTCTTTGCACGGGATGGCCTCGAACAACCGCCTGGCGTCCTCCAATTCCCCGTTCTGGGCATGCGCCGAGAGCAGCAAGTTCCACGAGAAGACATCTTTGTGGCGGATGCCGTCAAAGACGCCGCGAGCGTTTTGGAGGCTGCCGCATTTGCCATACATCTGGACGAGCAAGTTGGAGAGGAAAGTGTCGAATTCGAGACTCTTGTGCAAGTGGAGGAGCTGTGCGTGGAGCTGCGTCGCTCGAGAAAGGCTTGTGCATGACTTGATGCGCTCGACCCACTGGCCAACGCCCAGTTTCTCGTGTATGCTTCTCATGGCTTTTCTTGGCAGCGGCCTGGAAAATGAGAAAACCAAGTTAAGTCTCGTGGCGGGTGCCGCACAGGGTGCATGGGGAATGTAGGGAGAAGGACGTGATGCTCACAAACTTGTTGTCAACTTTCATCATATATATTGATTGATCTATGAGAAATTTAGACAAGCTGGACATGGACAAGATTAGTGTATTTTTTTGTATCTTCTTTAACCTCCACACTCCATGACTCCATTCAATAAGTTTATACCACTATTTGTCCTTTTGTCATTCCAAAGTCCCCAATCTTCTTGATCATCAGTTCCAGTCAAGCATGCAATCTCCTTGGCATTGCTCCCCACCACTTCGCAGGCCCAGTATTATACTGGAGAACTAAGTAACCATTCTGCCACTTCTCAAGCTTGAATACTCCGAATGGCGGCGAGACAAGCTTGATTTCTCCAATTGCACGCTAACCTTTAGCAACTGTGATGCTAATCGCTCCTCGTCTGATCGAAGAGCCTTCAACCCATACCATTCACCCCCGCGAGAAATTACAGTACTCCGCCGAGCATCGATCCATTCGCGCTACATCAACACAGAGTTCCAAGCTCCGATATGGACCATAGGCACAACAAGCTTGTATCGTCTTGCATTCTTGTCACTCACCATGGCCATTCCAAAGGAATATTTTGGTAAGATTCAAAATTGGGTAGTGCCTTTGAACAGAAAAGATCACACACAAATACTGTCCATATAGTAGTGAAGTCCTTCCAACTCGCAAAGAAGAAGAAGGCAAGGTTGCTCTCAAGATCGTAGGCCATAGAGCCTTTATAGTAAAGAGGAGTATAACTCTCCTCCTGGACAGTTTGCCAGTGCTGCCGAGGAAAGCTCGATCAAAGACGACGAGGAAATGGATGATGAGGACGAGGACTGGATGTCCTGGAAGATTGGCGAGGATGTTTTGGAGATACTCATCAAGTTCCTGTGGCTCCATCCAGGCCATTGTCTCTTACAATTGGCCGATCTCTTTGAAGAGCATGCTCCTTGTGCTGCACTTTCGAAAGCTTTGCTTGGCATCCTGAGGCCTGGAGCAATGCGAGCTTTTGTGGACACAAATCCATCAAAAAGTCCAATGGTATTTCCTTCCATGACAACTTCCCACCATTGCGACTTTGTAGAACAAGATCAAGCTTGAGATTAGTTGGGATTGGACTTGCCAAAAGCATGAGCTTCTTAGAATTTCGCCTCGGGGATATCTTAGAGATGGTTCCAGTGGAGGACTTGGTTGTTAGTGTAAGGCCCTTCACACATCCCTTTAGCATACTTCTCCCAAGCATATTCTCTAGAAGCAATAATGGTTATGCCTAGTCTTTGAAATCGCTTCCATGGTTCTTGCCATTTTCCAGGGCACTCTATGTCACTGGTGCCATGCAGCGGATAGCAGACCTAAGCCAGAATCTAGCGAGCTGCTAGATAGAAAACACTTCTTGATTGCTTAGACCCTAAACCTACGATTATAGTGACCAACCTAGATTTCTCCAAGGAGGTTACGTTGCAAGCATAGACATGTCGTTCCAGCACACGACATAGTCATTGTAGATGACTGCTCCGCTGGTAGGGTCAGCCGCCGAGGATCGTCGTGCATGACACGGAGTTTCGCTCGTGGCAAAGAGCTACAAGGCCAAATCAAGATGCCCTCATTGGGCATATGCTGCTGCATGGAATCTCGTCAAAACGTGCGACGGTATTCCACTCGGGAATCAAACCAAAAAAACTCCTTGAATTCTTGAAGATGCCCAAGGGTGGCAACAGTCGCCAGCATGGCGCTCCAGGAAGTTAAGTCCCTCGCGGGCATACCATCAAAGACATCCTTCGCTTCCTCAAAACGGCGCATTCCAGGAGCCCAAGTGGCATTCCATCAAATACCTCCTCAATGCCCACTGTGGGCATTCCACGACACTGGATCCCTTTCCTCCAAATCCATGCCATCAAAAACAGCCCTCGCTTCTCGCCGTCATGTTCCATGACACCGAGGCTTTGCACGGGACCGCCTGGCCTCCTCCAATTCCCCGTTCTGGGCATGCACCGATAGCAGCAAGTTCCACGAGAAGATCTGGATGGTGTCAAAGACGCTGCGAGCGTTTTGGAGGCTGCCGCATTTGCCATACATCTGCTTGGAGAGGTAAGTGTTGAATTCGAGGCTCTTGTGCGACTGTGCGTGGAGCTGCGCCGCTCGAGAGAGGCTTGTGCATGACTTGATGCGCACGACCCACTGGCCAACGTTCCCATCGCCCAGATTCTCGAAGATCATGTAGGCTTCTCATTTGACGATCTTGCCAGACAAGCTTTTCTCGTGGCAATGGCCTGGAAAAATCGTCACGAGAAAACGAAGTTAGAGTCATAGCGAATTTATTCGCGAGCGACTAGGCTACCAACTTAAAACTTTACTCGAAGTTTCACCTCGTCGTTTCGTGGAAGTCATTGTTCTTCGAGGATCATGCTGACGTTCTAGCGTTGCCAAAACAATGATGCCGTTTGCGTGCTGCAGTGCCCAACATTATCTTCACACACCTTTGTGGATCATTCATGCTCGCCAGATCGATGCACTGACCACTGTTTTCTGGAATAAACAAATGCAAGCTGGTCAGAGAAAACATCTATTGGGGACAAAGATACCTCGAGCGTTCAAATCCAATGCCCTCCGAATTGTATCCGCCACTGGCATCGTCCCAGGCCCTCATCGGCTCAGCGGTCCAGCGGCTGGAACAAATCCAAGGTGTGACGCCACGAAGGGTGCCCCGCTAGCACGAGGCTATTAATGCCGTCCTTCTCACCAAGCCACATACTTGTACGTCTTAAACTCTCTCCACTACAAAAGGCGAGACTGTCCGAAGAATTCGGAGCCCGCTGAATGGAGAATCCACTAGCGCTTGCAAAGAGTTCCTGGCTGTTTAGTGTGCTCGTGGAGCGCGTGATGGCTATGCTGCTCGCTACTGATCGTTGCCTCGAGCTGTTTGCAGATGGATATGAGAGTCTAGAGAACTGGGGGTCGTGCGGGATGGTAGGCGCTCCCTCGGCATTGGAAAGAGTAGCGGAGATCGGACTGGTCCAAGACTAGTTTGTGCATTCAGCACTGATCTGCAAAGAAGAAAAAAGGATCAGTATATTTAGATCTATGTAGATCTATCTACCTTGTCAATAGTAGAGTGTTCGAGTCCGATGGAATCGAAGGTTTTTGTTTGCTCCTATTCCCGACGACCACAGCCACCAATCCACTTGCACGCTCAGGACCTGGAAATTTTCAATGTCACGAACAGTTTGGTATGATATCCAATCGACTCATACCTCTTTCCCAGCCTTCGATCTTAGTTTCTCGCGGAGCATCTCCACTGCTGCGATTGTACAAGCACGAATTTCAATCTCTTCCTCCGTGCCGGACGACAGCTCCTCGAGATTGTCTACTATTCGAGCAAGTTTCGGGCTGTAGTTGAGGATTCCCCACTGCCGAAGAACAGCAGGAACAATGTAGTCCGCAAACATCGTTATAGCAGCAATGTCCGCGAATGCTCCCAAGCCTTGGCCCTTGAAAGCTCCCCAAAGATCAGCAACAAATATCTGAGCTCTCTTGTAAAGGAAGACTTGATGCCCCTTGTACACGGAATGGTCCCTGAAGCCTGGACGTGTACAAGGATCAAAAGAACAGCTCATACATATCCAAGAACAACTGATTACCAGGAAAATGCATAGCAACCAGTTCCACAAGAGCGACAGCCGAGCCGCGTGCAGCAAGGATTAAGTTTACTGCTTGTCCATCGAAGCTTCTCTCTAGTTCAGTCCCCACCTAGAAAAAACAAAAGAGAGAAAAAAAAATTAGTGTGCGTGTCAGTGCACAAATTGAATCTAACCTCTGCTAATAAACGGGCACGTTCGTCCTGTAGAGGAAGTGGGCGTGGCCATTCAAGTAATTCACGCAACTGAATGCCTGCGTTTGACACACGCAGCTAACTAATCAGCAAAAAAACTTGACCGCAAAAGCTAAAAAACAAGCGCTTACCTGTGAAAGACTTGAGACTCTTAGCATCGAAAATGCTGTTATCTCTTTGCAAAGCGCGCTTGAGCCCCGCCGCCAAGTGATCGTAGTGAAGGTCGCCATCTACAAAAAACGACAGTGTCAAGCAACAAAAGAACAACAAAAGAACAACAAAAGAAAGGAATGATCAAACCTGGCCAAAAGCAGAAGTTGAGAGTGTCAAGGACCAACAAGTACTGTGCCGTGAGAGGACCACCATCGAAGTAATGGATGCCTTCGAAGTCCCATGAAACCGCTGGGAGATCTCCGTGCAGACCATCCACCACCTTTGCAATGCCTGCACAATCACCACGGAAGATCATCCAAAAGAAGGAAAGAAAGAAAGAAAAAGTTCTGGATGAAAAATTCTCACCGGCGGGATCGATGGAAACATGAGACGCGTGATCGGCTACCCATTCCGTCGAGGATCGAACAGCCAAGGAGGAGAATGGCGCTGCCACGGCATTGCGCTCTCCGTGATCCGCCATAGCCTTAGGGTTTAAGCGGCACTAGGCATTAACCAAAAAAAAATGGCCCTGTACACTCAAGAAAGAGAGAGAGGAAGAACCGAGATTTCTACTCTAGGAAGAAAGAAACGAGGGATCGAGCGAGAGAATCACGCTGTCTCTCAGCTCCTGGTGCCGCCGATGATCTTCTTGATGGAATGCAGCAGCTTCGTCCAGAAGGACACTTCCGGCTCCTCTTCGCCGGGCTCTTCCGCGATCTCGATGCCCGACTCGATGTCGACGTTGCCGCCGCGCGGTGGCGATCTGCGAGAACACGCACGAAAAACGCCTCAAGCATCGATATTTCGGAGGAAACAAGCGCAAGAACGAGGATTCTCGCCGCCGATCGATCGCAGCGCAAGCAAGAAGGCGCCTACCTGTGCTGCCATGGCGCCGGCGGGATTGCGCCTCGGACGCGTTCCATCGCTTGGCGCATTTGAGCGAGAGACCGAGACGAAGAACAAAGGAAATGCGCGGCAAAACCCTCAAACGCATGGCAAAATATTTCACCTTTTATTCAAGTGTAGGTCTCAGAGATGGAAGATAGAAATTTGGAGATAACGCTCATGATCATAGAGCATTTCTATAGATACCTTTGTTCGTGCCACTTCTTCTTAGTTCTCCCTTGAGAGAGTTCTTCTTTGGAGCCCGGATGATGATCAAATCTCTAGCAAGCTCGCCGATTCATCGTCACTGCCATCGCTGCCACTGCTGCTTCCGCTTCCACCCTCGGAGCTGCTGCTGCTTCCACTCTCGCTGGAGCTTGCCTTGGACTCTGGATGATCCGGCACAGCAGGATGGCTCTCGATCGAGAGCGGCGGCGGCTTGGAGTTGAGCTGCCCGTCCTCGTCCTCGCTCACATCCACGTCCTCGAGCTCGTAGTCACTCTCGTGCTCCGCCATGCCCTCCTCCATGTTGTTGCTCACGTCGATGTGCTCGACGTTGTTGGCTAGAACACCACCGCTCGGCTTGAGCTTCTTCGCGTCCGCGGCAGCATCGTCTTCCATGTCCACCGGCGAGAACTCATCCGCGTGTGATCGCTTCGGCGGAGGAGATGGCGCTGCGGCTTTCGATTTTCCTTTGCTCCCAGCAGCTTTCTTCTCGTTTTTCTTGTTGCTCGCTGCGGCCTCGGGCTGGCCACCAATGACAATCTCTTCGATGTGTTCCTGGAAGAAAAACCAAGAGCACGAAACTAAGAACAAGCCCAAGAGCATAGAAGCAAGGAAGAAAGTTCGAGGATCACATACCCGAGGGCCTCTATAGACGTTGGCATCGTCTCCGGCGCTAGCACTGCTCGTTCCATTCAGATGCAAAGGCGATCGATTTTCCGGAGCTGCGAGAGCCGAGGAGGAGGAGGCCGCAGACTCGCCAGGCAACCGGAGATGCCTGAGGCTCTTCACTGCCCTGTGGAGCCTTTCTAATCTGAAAGTCCTTCCATCAAAGAACAAGATAGCATCGGAGTCTTTGCAGTCCTCGCTAATACCTTGAAACGCGACCTTGGGCTTCCCTGGCTGATTGTTTGAGAGCTCCACAGTCACCTCGGCGCCCTTGTCTTTGTGGAGCGACCCTGGCCGGCTCGTATCGATCGAAGCAGGCTTGAATTCATCTAAGCGCCACAGGCAAAGAAAGAAATCTCAGCTGGAAATATCGATCGAGATCGAGATCGCACTTACAGCGCAGGAAGTAGAAGCGCTTGGACGGATCCTTGAGACTGGATCCGAGCTGTAGAGGATACCAGTGCTCCGCCTGGGGCGCCGTGGAGGGCTCCTTGGGGCGCGCAGCCATAGCTCGCTCAAGAACCCTAATTTCGTGGGCTTTGGCCAAGAGACCTAATCTCGAAACGCCAGGGATTTTGGAGCGAGGATGGAGGGCAAGATCGATGCCGATGGCTGCACCTATACCAGGATTCGCCGCAAGACTTGCAATACCGTGGAGGATCCAGAGACGAGGAAGCCGATCTTGAGGTGTGAGAGGCTCGAGCAGCTCCTCCGCCACTGCCCTGGGAGGTAATCTCTATTTCTTTCTTCCAATTTCGATCATCATCGATCTAGGAAGCCCGAGGTCGTGGAGTCCAAGAGAGAGGAGACAGAGGAGGACGTTCCAAGCGAGGAGGAGGGCGATCACCAGCACAGCCTTGGCTCTAGCAGCGGCAATCCATTGTCACGATTCTCCGAGGCGCTGGAGGAGCATCTATCGGGCGAGATCGAGGGATTCATGCGCGCGGCGGAAGAGATGGCAAACGAGCTGTTTGGGAACTTTGGGATCTTCAAGCACGGCGAGAGAGAGAGGGGCAGCGACGAGGAGAGATTCCACCGGAGAGCTCCATCGCCGCAGCCATTCGGGCGAGGAAGAAGGGGCGAGGAGATGGAAGGAGAAGAAAAAGAAGGGGAGGATTTCGCGGACTTTCGCAAGGGCTTTAAAGAAGTTTGAGCACAAAAATTAGGGTTCTTACTTTTAGGGTTCTTGAGAGTTTCTAGCTACTGCGCATTGAATCGGTTACACGATCGCCGGATCTCGCCCGCCCCGCCGGTCTTGACGCCCAATCTGGAGAGCTTGTCCATGGATGCCGCGAAGGAAAAGAAGAACAGCGCTGGATCTCGAGCGAATAGCCTGACGATTTCCCTGGAGGGGAAGGAGGCGAGGAGGCTCTCGTCGGATGTGAGCAGCGATCTGCCGGCTTCCAGGTTCTTGAAGTAATGGTTGTCGAAGGTGAAAGGCGCGGCCTTGTCGAAGAACTCGATGGCCGTCACAGGGGCTCCTGGCGGGCAGTCCTTCTTGAGTTCCTTCGCGAAGGACGGATCGAGAGAAGGGTCTGTGCCGTCCAGAGAGGTGTTGACTCCATAGAGCCTCTGGCTGAATTGCGAGCAGTGGGAGACCCCGAGCGTGTGAGCGCCTGGAAAAAGAGAAGATCATCGAGGCTTTTCGAGCTAGCAGCTACATATCCATACCAGAGAGCGTGACGAGATCAAGTAAGTTGAGTCCTTTGCTGTGGAAGTTCTTGAGCAGCTCGTCCAGACCAGACCTTGGCGATGGGATTTCTCTAAGCGCGCTATCCGCGCGTGACACTGTTCCATCCCTCCGTCCGAGCGCCAGATTCCAGCCCGGCCCTCCCGCCTGGAAGAGTTTATAAAGATCAAAACAAGGACACAGAAGCATGCTGGAAACTTGCCAGGATCAACATATCTCGAGTGACCATCGCAAGTATATCAGCACACGAGACCACACCCGGGCACTGGGCTTCCACGGCTTGCTTCGCGAGATCGATCGTATCAAACGCATCCTGGACTAAGTCCCGGTTTGCCACGGAGTCTCTCTCGACCGAGGACTGCGGAGTTTGGCCGATGAGGATCGATCCATCGCAGCCCTGCATTGTTTGTGGGATTGGCAAACGCGCTCTACCCGATCAACACAAACCTCTACGAAGCAGTCGTGGAAGAAAAGCCGAAGAACTTGTGCTGGGTGATTGGTCAGCTGCTGGAATCTCCTCAGTGAAACTTGCGCGACGATGGATGCGATGCCTGGGCAGCTCGAGTCGTAGAAACCGGGCCAGAATTGGTGGGAAGAGCTTGGAAAAATCACTGCGATTGCAATCAAAACAGCCAGAAATCTCATCTTGGTTGGACTCCGCAGCTCAAGTTACTGTCATGCAATTTAGTTCATTATAATATAAGTGGGATTCTTGAGGTGGACTATTCTGATGAGTGGATCTTATTATTATCTAGCTTTAGCAGTTCTGGCAATGATTCTCAGGGTTTTGTACCACAAAGTTGCTCATCGAGTAGACAAAGTGAAATTATTGTTTGTAAAAATTGTTTGCTGGAAGTAATGTGAAATTTCTTCACACCCTTTTAAATTAATGCTAAATCTTAGAATATACTCTATGGACATTCCATATTGCGCTGGAAGTATCTTCTTATTAAAGGTTGAAAGAAAAAGAAACAGTGACAAAAACGTCTCTCTCTTTCTCTTCGCTCTCTTGCTTTTCCTCTTTCTTTTGCCTCCTGCACATAAAGATTTTGCTATGCAGTCCTTTATTTGATTAACTCCCTCAGCCATGCTGCTCAAACCCTTCAAGACACTTGAAGAGCGGCTCCATCAGGCTCCCATTGCAGAATGCATCGTATATTTTGTCCAGGTCCTGCTTGGGAGCTCTTCCTTCCAGGCCACCCCCTGTGAGCATCTCCGTGCCCAGTTCATGACGAACAAACTGGTACAGCGGGTATGAGACGCACTTCTCTATGATATGAGTCGCAGGTTTGTCCAGGGACTCTTTCCTGGTTGTGGCAATCGCCTCCTCCAGTTTTGGTTTCAATCGATCTTTAAACTCGCCAAATTTCCTGACCGAGCAGCCCTGCGTGGTGGGATTGGCGAGAAAGACTTGCCTCAGCTTGTTTAGTAGTGTGGAGGAGCCGTCCATTGCATCGTCAATGAAGCTGAACGTATACTGCTTCTCCACTTCGAGCAGCATGCTCTCAACACAGGCAGCCGGGAAGAACTCATCCCCGATCGAGGAGAGAACTTTCATCACAGCTCCTTGCAATGCCACCTCCAGATGCCTCAGATCGATCGCCTGGCAGATGCCCAACAAGTACGTGGACAGCATCATCTTGAGAATCTCAGCGGCCTCTTCGGATTTCCTCGCGGAGACGAGTCCGAGAGAGTTGACTGCCTGATTGTGGTGCTCGGCCGTCTGAACGTGGGTGGTGACGGGATTCGCCAAGTATGCAAGCTCGGACATGTAGGCAGCCATGGCAATCTCTGCGCAATGGAATCCATAATCAAGGGACGAGTCCGCACCAGCTGACAGGTTGGAAGGCAGCCCGTTGTTGAAGCTGGCATTGACCAGCTCCGAGAATTGAGCAAAGACGAGCTTCCCGATTGCGGCCAGGGCGATTCTCACGTTGTCCATCGCGACACCGATGGGAGTGCCTTGGAAGTTTGCACCGTGCAGCGCCTTGTCACGCGCAACGTCGATCACGGGATTGTCGTTGACCGAGTTGATCTCTCGCTCGATGGAGCGAGTTGCATGGCGGATGACTTCGATCTGGGGGCCTAGCCATTGCGGAGAGCTTCGTATTGCGTAGTGGTCTTGCCTGAACTTTTTGAGGTTGTCAACCTGGTTCAGTCTAGCTGCGGACGCCATGAAAGCGCTGTCTTGAAGGACGTGGTTCATGACTGCCGCAGCTTCGATCTGCCCAGGGTGGCGCTTCAGCTTGTGGATGAGCGGATCTACAAACTCGCTGCGTGCGTGGATGACTTCGCAAAACATGGCAGTCAGGACTTCAGCAAAGACGACGAGAACGTTGGCATCGAAGCAAACGAGAGATCCCAGAGCTGCACCCGCCGAAGTCCCATTCACAAGCGCTATTCCTTCCTTGGGCCGCAGTTCGAATGGAGCTTCAACTCCCGCAAGCTTGAGGGCTTCTTGAGCAGAGGTGACGCTTCCATCTCTGGTGAAAGCTACTGAATCTGGTCTTCCGGTTAGAACGGCTGCAATGTAGGCCAGCGGCATGAGATCCCCCGAAGCAGTGATTGATCCTCGGAGAGGAACTTTGGGCGTAACTTGAGCATTGATGAGCTTGACAATGGCATCCAGGATCTCCCAACGTGTTCCCGAGTAGCCTTGCACCAAACAGTTGGCCCTCACCAGCATGGTGGCGCGCGTGACATGAACAGGCAAGACATTGCTTGGATTGGTGCCCATGATGCCAGCATTCAAGTAGCGGATTAGCTCCTGCTGTAGGCCCGAGAAATTTGCCGTCCTTCGATTGCAGTGAGCTCCGAAGCCAGTGGAGATTGCATAGGTATCGACTCCTTTCGCGACACTCTCCATGACCCACTCTGCGCATTTGTCCACTCGAGATTTGGCACTCTGGACAGCAAGCTCAACATGGACGTGGTCAGCGCGCCTAGCAACTGCTGTGACTTGCTCGATTGTCAGGGCAGTGCCCTCGAGCGCTATCATGCTGGCGTTGTCTAAACCCTTGACCATCCTACGAACTTCCTTCAAGTGGCTATCAACTCCATCCATGGGGTATGCATCTGCACTTCCCATTTCACAAGTCCTAGATCTGATCTCACACACACCTGAACCGTCTTCGTTCTAATGGCGAAAAGTAGTCGAAATGGGCTCTCGTTAGCTCTTTCTACGTGGCTCTTGCTGTTTCCTACGCGTTAAGGGAAAGTTGCCATCGGCATGGCGAGCAGGCAAGATAGGAGTAGGGCAGACAAGCCATGGCACGCTACCAGGCGCCGGAAGAACTGCCTGAATGCCCAAGATTCCAAAAGGTTACTCAATAACACAAAGTATGTGACTTTGCATTTTTAACAAAGGGTAGACTGTCATGGCTGTGAAGCACCAGCTAATCCCCCATGCAATTGAGCTCACCCACGTTCAAACACGAGGGAATTTTGCTCGCCACATTAAAAGTTTAGCATCAAATTCTTTCTTAACCTTCTATGGTTTATATGAAACTTGATGACATCCAACTATTATGTCTCCACTCATTTATCATTTGGTTTCACAAGACAAGTATGCGCTCCACGCGTCTTCGAGGAGACGTCTCAACCTCTCCAGTGTCCCTGTTGGTAAAGTTATGGTGACTTCAATCCCCTGGGGTGATCTTGGATGAGGATTGAACATGCAAAGTCCATCCAATCCAAGCCTCTCCAATCCAACATGCCGCACGGCTTCTGGTCTCCCCCATCCCAAATCAATCTCGTAGTACCGGAACCGCGGCGAGCTCGAGCACAACATGTTACAATTCTTGCCAAGCTTGTCCGCTGCAATGCCCTTGGAGCTAAGCTTCTTCGTGATCCCCTCCATGCCAAAGCTCGTCGAAACTGCATCCTCCAGCAAGCTTGCAGCATGGCGGAGGCCACCTTTCCGGAGCTCACCAGCAGTCGTCGTTGACACCGCGTGGAGCACTGCATTCCCAAAGAACTCGTCCGGCAGCTGAGGAGCTAGCCTTTTCCTGCAGTTGGCAGCCATGGAATTGGTGGTGCTCGTGGAATCGGGCAGATCCCTCGCTGCACACATGTTGATCCAGATGTGAGCACTTAGCACTTTGAAACTCGATAACCCGGCGCCAGCCATCTCCTTGATCTTGTCAATGTAGTCTCTCTCGAAGCAGAAGATTCGACCGCTCATCGCTATGTTACCGGACTTTGGAAGATCATGGCCGCTTGCAACCGGCGAGAAATCACTTGCTCTCGGGTAGTCCAGCTGCTGGGGCCCGAGATCTCGATCAATGCGAGGAACTTGGCTAATCTCACCTTTGAGACAACTCTCTGCCCAAGATACTAGGAAATGCACCCGGCCAGTTCCATCAGCTAATGCATGGTCCGCAGCCCAAAGCCACCGAAATGCCTCCGCACGAGAACCTTGTCACCTAGATGAAATCCAGGGGATGAAATCCTCAAGAAACGCTGGTCACTGGTTACCTGGATGCTTAGCAGCGGGCTTCCGAGTGGTGCCGCAGAGCTTCCATACTTGCCACTTCGAATCAGAGCCGAGAAGTCGGGCGATGGCTGAGAGTAGTCGAGCTTGTCAAGCGGAAAGTCGGCTCTTGCCACTGTCCACTCGACACCAGCGGCATTGCAGTCGATTCCATACGAGTTGCCATCGCTGGAGAGCGCCAGGCGCCCAGCTGCAGGGTAGAAGTGGAGCAGAACTTTAGAGAGTGAGAGCCTCGCTTGGTGGATCAAGCTCAGGTTCTGCGCGTCCGAGCGAGAGCCTGGATAGAACGCAACACCTTGCATATAGGGATGGAAGATGTATTTCATATCAAACTGGGAGAGAGGAAGGAAGCAGCTTGGAGTTGGGGATAGCGGCTCAAGCATGAGGCGCTCAATCTCCTCGACCTTCATGATCTTTGTGGAGTGTAGAGCCCTTTCAAGAAATCGCGTTATATTGTTCTCTTCAAACGATTAGATTTTAATAACTAGACAAGATTTTCTTAGCTGCGAGGAAGATCTCCGCTGGAAAATGGAAACGGAAGCACGCTCGCTTACTCCTCTTCTTCTTCGTCTCCATCGCCACCGCCAGAGGCCTTCTTCGATGCCGCCTTCATGTTCTTCCTCTTGACGCGCCCCGGGCCGCCACCTCCGAACGGGCTCGTCAGTGCAAAATCGATGTGCTTCTGGGACTCGACGCGGACAAGGAAGGATGGAACGTTCACCATTTGCTTCCCGACCCTGGCCAATTCGCAAGACTCTCGTTAGATCACAAGGAGATCTGATAAGATAACTAAGAGAAGGAAGAAAGAACTTAGAGAGAGTGGAGAAGGAACTAAGAGAAGAAGGAAAGAAAAAGAGAGAGAGAACTTTGGATCCCACCTGATGTGCCTTTGCCTGACGAGAACGCGCGCGTGATGGATCGACTTGGCCATGCCCGCCTTGAACACCAGAGTCTGGAGCCGGCGCTCGAGGAAGTTCTCCACGGTGAGCGCCAGCACGTAATCCAGCTTGTTCTGGCCCTCCTCGAGCAGCCCATAGCGATGCATCCGGCGGAGGAGCGCGTCGCCCTCGAAGATCCGGCGCGGGTTCTTCTCGTCCAGCGTGAGCAAGTGGCGCGCGGCGTTGCGGATGCGACTCAGCACGTACTGGAGTCGCCACAGCTCGCGCTTGTTGCGCAGGCCATACTCGCCCACCAGCTTGAGCTCCGCGTCCAGGCGCTCCTTCTCGAATGGCCGCCGTGGCTTCTTGAAAGTTTTCCCATCTGCGGCACACCGGATCGATCGGCACGGGCGCAATGCGATCGAGAAGGAGAGACTTACAGTTGCGGTAGAAGCTGACGTTCACCATCGCCGATCCTCCAGCGCTCCCGCCCGCCCGCCCGCCGGCAAGATCCCTAAACCCTAGGTTCGCTCTAAGCCCTACGATCAGCCCTAAATCAAACGGCCCAAATTTGGAGAACGATCGTTATAAAATTCCTTGATCAGGTTATGGTTAAGAAAAGAGCGATGTGTGAGGAGGTGTTTAGGCTGTTCCTCAGGGATATCTTAGAGATGGTTCCAGTAGAGGTTTTGACTGGTAGTGTGAGATTGGTTTGTCAAAGTTGGGCAGCGTGCTCACGCGAGATTCTAAAAAACTTATGCTTTTTGCAACTCCGGACATGGAAGTTCGTAACTAGTATCAGGCTTGATCTTGTTCTAAGACAGAGCAGAGACGGGGAATTGTCATGGAAGGAGATGCCATTGACATTTTTGATGGATTTTGTGCGCAGGCAAACTCTCCCGCGGGGTTATCATCCTCTTTACCCTAGAGGCTCCATGGCCTACGATCATGACAGCAACCTTGCCTTCTTCTTGTTTTCTAGTTCGAATCGCTTCGCTAGTATATGGACAGTATTTGTGTGTGATTTTTTCTCCAAACGAGTGAAGGCACTGCCCAGTTTTGAATCTTACAATAAGTATTTCCTTGAAATGGCCATAGCGAGTGACAAGAATGCAAAACGATACAAGCTTATTGTGCCTATGGTCGATGGTGGAAAATGGGACTCTGTGTGGATGTTTGACTCGAGTGCAAATGCATGGAAGGAAATCGACGGCTCGGCAGAGTACTGTATGGTCAGTGCAATTTCTCACGGAGGTGAATGGTATGAGTTGAAGGCTTTTCGATCAGAGGGCACTCATGAGAAGCTATTAGGATCACAGTTGCTAAAGCTTAGCCGCGGGGAGTGTACAATTGGAGAAATCAAGCTGGACTGGCTGTCATCCGTAAAGCTTGAGAAGTGGCAGGATGGTTTCTTAGTTGCTCAGTATAATCCTGGTCTTGCAGTTCTCAGGCTTTGGGAAGTGGTGGGGAGCAAGGTTAAGGAGATTGCATGCTTGACTGGAATTGATCATCCAGATGAGTGGGGCATCAAGGCTTGGAATGACAAGGTTTATATAGCGTTACTGAGGCAATTAGAGTGGTATAAACTTATGGAATGGAGTCATGGAGTATGGAAGGAACTCTTGGCTACAAAAGGATGCAGTAAACTTGTCCATGTCCAGCTTGTTTAATCCTGTTAACACTTCTCATTGATCAATCAAGATGGTTTATCTACGATGCAGTACTTCCAGAGATGCGCCAGGTGGTGTTTAGGCTGCTCCTTGCTTACAGCACATGGATCTTTAGTTAGTATTAAAAATTTACTTTGTATATCAACCTCCTCGGTACTGAAGCAATCAGACTGAAGCATAACATTTCTTCTTGGCTCCAGAAATCTGCTTGTTCTTCCTGCCAAAACACTCATTGGTGAGAACGAGCGCACATACTCGACAGCCAGTTTTGGCCAGCTTTGCCGCTGCCATTGCAATGGCATTGCCTCAACATCCCGCGCTCTGTAACCGATCCAAGAGAAATGCATAATACAGCACCCCCCTCTCTTATGTGGCTGCCTATTTGCCATGTTCACTCGCCTCCTCTGTAGTCACACCTAGCTCTGCACCCTAAATGTTTAACGACTAACGTTAAATTTTAATTAGTAGATGTTGTTAACTAATATGTTAATGACTATAATTTTATAATTAGCCAGTGAATGAACTTATAAGTATATAACCTATTATTGGTTTAGGTTTTTCTATATTTTCTTTTTTATTTTATTCATTCTCTTTAGTGACCACAAGATCTCTTAAAACTAATACATGGTTTGCAAATAGTAATCTTACATTTACTCAAATGCTTAGAGTAATGTATTGTTGGTGCATTAAAATGCCATAAAATCAAACTTATATTTAGTGTAGTATTAAAAGTGAGCACACAACAACAAATTGGTATAACTTTTGTTGTGATATCTATATTATCACATTATAACAAGGTAGTCAAAAGATTGGTGGTCCAGGAAGAATTGTGGAAATTGATGAAAGTAAGTTTGGTAAGCAGAAATATAATCATGGTAGAAGAGTAGAAGGTCAATAAATTTTTGGAGAAATTAAACATGATTTAGATCAAATATTTATGGTTCTGATGGCTGATCATACTGCACAAACTTTAACTAATATATTATATACATATGTTAAACCAGGTAAGCTCTATTTCTATTATTATTCTTAACTAGTAATTATAATTAATTTTTTAGAAACAATTATATATAGTTATTTTTGGGCTGGTTATGATTCAAAATGGTTGAATCAATTGAACTTTATTCATTATACAGTCAACCAATCCCAGAATTTTATTGATCCCATAACTAGAATTCATACAAATTGTATTGAATCAACATGGAATGCAGTGAAAAGATCCTTTCCTCACTAATATAAGAAAAGGATTATACAACTTTTACTTTCAAGAATATATTTAGCAAAAAATATATATTGAAAGAAAGGAAGTTGCATTTAATATTCTATGCAGTCATATTAAGCTATACAATCAAGATAATGCTGTTAAGTAGAATAAATAGTATAATTGATTTTTTTACTTTTAAATACTTAAAAATAATTTAAAACAATATATTAGAACAATGGCATGCCCGTGTAAGCTATGAGGTGGCATGCAAATCCAAATAAGCAAATGGGGCCCACCCTAAATAAAGGGGGTGCTATTCTACCCACTGATTTCTCCATCGCATTGCCCTCGAGATCCCTCCCTTCCCTACTCCAGCTGCTGTCGATCCATTCCCTAGCATCAGCGCCCCAATGCAATGGCGCGGGCAGTGTGGAGAAGAAAGCCTGCTAGAACATGAAGATTCCCACCAAGAATTAAAGAATTCTTGTTTTAAACATGTATCAAAACGGAATTTCTCAAAAATCATTTTAAAAAGGTGTGCGTGCAGTGCTGGTAGTAGGGTGCACGCGAAAGAAGCTCGTGCTATTTGCAACTCCGGGCGAGTTCTACATGTAAGTTCCCAACTAATCTCAAGCTTGATGTTCTACGACAGAGCAAAAACGGGGAATTATCATGGATGGAGATACCATTGAACTTCTTGATGGATCTTGAGGTACAAAGTGGCCTCTTGAGAGTAACCTTGCCTTCTTGTTTGGGAGTTCGAATATATAGACAGTATTTGTGTGTGATCCTTTCTCCAGGAAAGTGAAGGCACTGCCCTGAAAACTAGCAGAAAATATAGTGAGTGGCAATGATGCAAGACGATACAAGCTTGTTGTGCCTATGATTGCATCACCCAATTCTGTGTCAATTAACTACATTAACTCCATTTATCAATTAAATTTGATTCCTACTTTAATTTAACTTACAGGTAGGAGCTCCTTCGCCTTCTCATTCTCCTGGAATGCCTGGTGGATTAGAATGTGGGCAAAGTGGTGGTATAGTTCTGTTCACAGGTCTACGAAATTCTCACCATTCCCACTCCACCGTCCGGTTGGAGACAAGATAGTTCTGCAATATGATGCAAAGGTAGAAGCCTTTTTCTAGCCTGAATTTAGATTCTCGTCCTATAAGGTTTCTGTGTTTGATTCTATCGTGAAGACGGTGTCTAGGAAGGGCTCTGCATTTAAAATGGAAAGGTTTTCAAGCTAGGAGAGCATGTAGACAGTTGGAGAAGTTTTCTTTTCGAGTTTGACATGCAGTTTGATTCAGCCAATGTGGCATCTACAACTGTGACTTTGTAAGAAACCTTGTATCAAGGTTCGGACTACTAACGACTTTACAGGTGAAACAAGCCTTACTTTAGACGTTGATCCTAAATGGGATGTTTGACAATGCTCCACACTGACAAGAGGAATGAAGGTTTGTTTCCTTACCTTTGAAATATTAGAAGGTTGTAATGCAGTGCTTTGTATAGATTACATCTTGAATGAGTCTTGCAACTTGTATGGCTTCACGCCTCTGAGGTATGAATTTTCTCAACATACAAATACTTGAATGACAAAAGATCTTCACCTTTGCTAGTAACTCTGCTGCACAATTATGGTCACAAATATATTTTTAAGTCACTATAAATTTGTTTTCATATTGTATGGTCAATAGCTCAACTGAGTACTTTGCAAACAGTGCAATTTCTAGTGGAGGTGAATGGTGGGTTAGGGGAGCAATTAAAATCCCACTTGCTAAAGCTTTGTTGCAGGGAGTGTACAGTTGGAGTAATCAAGGTGGACTAGTCTCAATGGTGTCATGGAAGTTGGACTTTTTGATAGATTTTGTGTCCAGGCAAAGAGTTAAGGGCTAACTATAGAGGTTCCATGGCCTACGACCAGTTTTAAATCTTGGAGAGAATATCCCCAAGCTTGTGCTTTTAGGGTGTTTGAAGCAAAATACAGGCGGATTGTATAATTGGAGAAATCAAGCTTAGCTCACCGCCATCCTGAGAATTATTCATGCTTGGCAGGATGGTTTCTTAGTTGCTAGTCCTGCAGTCCTCAGGGAAGTGGTGGAGAGCAATGAATGAGATTTAGAATCAAAATCCAGATGTTTGGGGATGAACTTCAGTGGGGATGAACTCCCACCATCTTACCATCAGCTCAAATGGAGGAGCTGCAACTAGAGAGTGTAGGGAGTTTTAAGTTCATAGTTGTACCCCTTGGTCCTGAAGCCAATAAAGTGGTATAAACTGTCTAGCAGCAGCTCTTGCTTGGAGAAGATACGGGAAAATACACTGATCTTGTCCGCGTTCAGCTTGTCTAATCCTGTAGCCTCACAACCATTGACATTTTTCATGGATCAAACAAGATGGTTTGTATATGATGAAGTTGACGACAAGTTTGTGAGCATCACGTACTTCTCCCTACATTCCCCATGCACTCTGTGCGACACCCGCCACCCTCTTTGCAAATCCCCATGCAGCTGGCAAGCGCCCAACAGGCTCAGCTGCGCGGTCAGGAAAGGTGGCAAACTCTCGAGCAGCTCCTCAGCTCGATCCAGCTGACCCGCCCTGGACAAAACATCAACCATGCACCCAAAATGCACAGCCTCGGGGCAAATCCCGTGATCTCCTCTCATAGAAGCGAAGAACTCCCATCCCTGATCCACCATT